ATATTTTTACATAGCTTTTCCTGCCCCAGTGTCAGTGCCCTGTTGTGGTTTCCCTTAAGTTCCCAATTTGGACAGGGACATAGGACATTTAGGGTTAAAGTTAGGATTAAAATTAGGGTTAGATTTAGGGAGTCATGTTTTATTTTGAAATTAATGATACCTAGGGAAAAAACATGACATGTGAAATTATGTTTAATGTTAATTTTAACCTTACTTCTAGGACTAGGGTTAGAGCAAGAAGTGAGAGAGGCTGAATTAGTTCCTAACCTCACGTAACTGTAAATGCCCTATGTCCATGTGCTTTAGTGAAGGCCCTGTGTGCAGGTAGTGGGTACCGTGTAGTGCAACCAACTTTCTTTTCCATCCACCCTTCTCAAATAAAACCTGAGACATATTTGAGGTATAAATAGGCCACGGCTTTATTTATATTTTAACAATTATAATTAACCAATAAATAACAAATTAATAAACATATCAACATGATTTACAATTTAACTGCAGACTTGTCCTTTCCAACCCATTCCAGCACCAATCACGAATAATCCTGGGCACCTTCTCTCCCCCCTCGTCCTAACCACCAACTGGTCTCCAACTTGGCCTTACCTTACCACCATGCTAACCACTAGCCGGCCTTTTGGCTAGTGGGCACGTTCACTTGTCCAAACCATTTACAAGAGGTTACGGGAGGGATCAGCCCCGTCCTTCCTTCTTTCCCCATGTACTCTTGCTTCAACCCAGATTGGCAAGGACCTTATCTGCCAGCTGCCACAAGAAAAAAAGAGTTAACATCAAATAGCCAACATCAACAAGGGAGGGTGGGAGGGAAGCTGTTACCAAGCCATTATTTTTTTAAATGGCTGAGGTAAGATGTCAAAATGCCCACCTACATATAGTACAGCCCCTATCCCCCTATTTTATCACTCCCCCCATATTACACCTACACTTCCCCACATCCACACATGCCCTTTATCCGGCTAGCTTTCCACCTGCCTCCTCAGGATCTTAACTATTATCTGAGTGTGACACTAGCTTTACTTACCTTGCAGGACCTTGCTGAGCAGCATTTTCAGACCCAGATATCCTGAGAGAGGAGAAGTTACAATGCCAGCTAATGCTGCATCACCGAGAAAACCACACTGGTTTAGAGCATCTCGCAGAATCAGATTTCTGGACCCATCACTGGACATGATGTGGCTGCACAGGACATGACAAGGGTCTCGATTACTGACGTCCAGATTTCTAAGAGAACACTCGCCACCGGGTTATGACGTCATGCTATATCACAGCGGGCATAATCTCTGAGAATCACAAGGAACAGCTGCTGCTTCTAGCGATGTATCCACATTGCCCAGCCAGCTCTAGGATATGGCGGACAGTCCTTCCACCGCAACAAGTACCCTTTGCAGCCCTGCCACTAGCTCGCAGCATGATACAAGAATAGGAAAAGTGCATGTCCTGGGCCTCGGGCGATTCCACATCCCTTTTTACATTTTTATAAGTTGGATAGCGGTGTACATAGAGATGACCATTTTAGTCAGCACTTTTTGTCTGGGTTGATATATATTGTTTAAATATAATATTATTGTCAGGATTACTAGTAGATCCAGCAAGCAGAATTATATCACACCTAGGACTAAAGGTAACGTCTTTCCCGGGCCTTAGAATGGCCGGACTTAACGTACCAGAGAATAGTCAGAATACTTGCCGAGGTCAGGGACACAGAAGGAGACACAACGATGAGGGAAAGCCAAAAGTCAAGGATACCAGAATTCAGGGAAGTCAAAACAAAGCCAAAGTCAATAACCAGAAATAAACGCTCAGGAATACACTCTTGGATAACCTACTAATGGAAACCACGAAAATGATAAGAAGTAAAAATGCGTTTAAATAAGCCTTTGATTGGCCGTAGTTGGCCTTTGACCCCAGAACGTGCGTGCACGTCTTTTGCGTGATGTCACACACACGTTGACATTGTCATTACCGTGGGCGGACGTGGGGCTATAAAATGGTCTGGATCAGCAGCAGCCGGCGTCCACCAACATGTTGCAGGAGTCAGGTATACTGGCGTATGGCCGCTGAGCAGCACTTCCGTTATTGTCAGAAAGGCTATTATTACTGCAGATACTACAAGGTGAGGATGAATATAATCCGCTTCTCAATGGTCTTACGTGCTCCCACCTAGCGTCGTTACAGTCCATAATGAATGCAGCGGCGAGGCTCATCTTCCTGTCCGCCCACACCTCCCATGCCTCACCCTTCTGTCAGTCCCTACGTTGGCTTCCTATAAAATACAGAGCTCAATTTAAAATTCTGGTTTAAAATTCTGGTTCTTGCTTTCAAATCTCTACATAGTGCTGCTCCCACCTATCTATCCTCCCTTATACACAAGTATGTCCCATCTAGGCCCTTACGATCTGCTGAAGACTTACGTCTATCTTCTGTCCGTACTCCCACCTCTGATGCTCGCCTTCAAGATTTCTCGAGGGCTGCACCGTTCCAGTGGAACTCGCTTCCCTCTTCCATTAGATGCTCACACAGTCTCCACTCCTTCAAAAAAATCGTCAAAAACCCACTTCTTCATAAAAGCGTATGAATTAAACTGTTAATAGCTCATGACTGATTCCTCTTCTGCAACTGTCATTAGTCTAATACTATCCTTACCTTTGTGTGTCATTTTACCCCACTCCCTCTAGCATGTAAGCTCATTGAGCAGGGCCCTCAACCCCTCTGTTCCTGTGTGTCCAACTTGTCTGGTTACAACTACATGTCTGTTCGTCCACCCATTGTAAAGCGCTGCGGAATTTGACGGCGCTCTATAAATATCATAATAATAATAATAATCGTTGGTCACATTAAAGTGTTCTGCAGTTAGGCCACTGAAATCAGCCCCTGAAGTGTTCATATCTTGTTTAATTCTTTATATATATAGGACTCTTTCTGGGAAGGATGGTCTTGTAATGGGTCCACAACAGTAAAATTTCTTGCAGGAAATGTGCGCTGAACTAAACACAGTGTAACACCTGAAGGGGTGTCAAGGATAGAGGCAAGTACACAGAAAAAACGTATTACCGTACCTAAGAGTGACCGGGCTTAGCGTATATAGGAGGTATAGGATATAGAATAGTCAGATACAGACCTAGATCAGGAGTGTAGACAGATGGATAAACTAGTATAACAAAGCTAAGGGTCAGGGATACCAGAATACAGAATAAACAATTGAACAAAGCCGAGTCAGGTTCTAGAAGTACTAAGGATAAAGGAACGCACTTTCTGGCTAACAATGACCATGAAAGGGTAATGAAGGGAGGTCACAGGGGCTATATATAGGCCCCTGTGGCCTCTGATTGGCCTACGTCCTGTTTGACGCCAAATTGAACACAACCCCTGCTGTGTGGGTTAAAAATAATGTCAGGGTTCCCATACAAGACGCGTTCCGTGACTTGAATAAAGGAAGACATAGGCAGAGCATTTGCGCAACATAGGAACAAAAAACAACATTGCCTGTTGCTAGCCACATCTGCTAGCCAATGCAATTTCTGTAAGATGTGTTTGACACCTACTCTGTACATCTACATTTTTAATTATAATTATACTATGGTATTATTACAATTGTAGTTCACACCCCTCCTCTCCGGCGGGTTATCTGGCAGCATAACCTTTGTTAGTATTTTTGTCTCCTGGAGGGGGGTGAGCCCTTACTGGGTGCATTTCTATTTTATGCTGTAACCTCATGCCCAGGAGGGGAAAGCTAGTTAGTTATTATTTTTGACTACTCTTTTGTTTTTTATTTTATTTTATAAAAACTGATTCTGCGCGCATTTCCCCAACCAATAATGTGTTACCCTTGCGGGACGTATCTGCGTATTTAATATCATCTTGAAAATCTTTGTAATACTCTCACGCGTTATGACCTAAATAAAGATGTATTTTTTTTAAATTTGTAGTTTCGTAGAAACTGTAATTTTTACATTGCAGGGTTAAATCCACCTCTAGTTGCTGTCTTCCATGGTACTGTTAGAGTAAAACTTAATCATGTGATGCGGAAGTCCCCTTAGGAAAGCATTGATTCATCAGGTTCCCAAAGTTCCTTTAGACGGAGAATTGGAGTATTGGATTAGACTATCTACGGAGGAGACCATGCCCCCTCCATGTCGTCATGGAAGGAGGAAAGGCCAACAGTGCTGAGTAAAAACGTAAGTAAAACACTGTATGTTAAAATTTATTCGAAAATGGGGGGAGCTCTAAATCTATGGACATGGACACTAAAGTGTTAAGAATACACATTTGTATTTCTAGTGCTTTAGTGTTCCTTTAATAAACCTCGTTAGACTTTCTCAATATCCCCAGTGGAGAAAACTTGGCTAAAAAAAAACTAACTCTTGAACTATCATAGCTGCGGAAGAATTAGATTAGTAGCTGCTTCTCCTGAAATTGTCAGTATTTCTCGCACAAGGAATCTCCTCCTTTCCACCATAGACGGATTTATAAAGACAGATGAATGACATGAACGAATTATATTCACACAGCGAAATAATGTCAGACAACCACATTTCCAATAAAAGTCATGAAGCTAAGCTTTAATAAAGACTTCAAATAGACCAGCGTTCGCTGACAGATAAATTAAGCAAAAAAGAACGTTATACTGGGCACATGTTCTGAATGAAGCTTTTTACAATCCCAATTAAAAGGAAGTACAGGATTCATGTAATATATCATATAGGTCTTCTGATAGCTAGCGATTGAATTGGATGGTTATTTTATTCTCTTGTTTTCTGTATCTGTTGCACTGGATGGCTATTTATCAGTTCTAAAATTGATTTGTTTTATCTAAACAGATTTATAGACAACAGTGAGATCATAAAATTAAGACATATGGTGCAACAAGTATAGCATTTTCATTTAAACAGCAGGAGAAGGGAGGTCCGGTCATGAGACACTGTGCAAGAATATGTATCCACTGAACATTGAGCGCAAAGAGTGCATTAGACGTTCTTGGACGCTCACTTTCTGTGAGTAGAATGATATTGGTGGTCGCGGGAAGAGACCACTCGCCCATCATTGTCTTGAACTTGGGTTTTGACATAATAAGCTCCACCTATTGACAAACCAAAAATACAAAAAAAATATTTATTATAAGACAAAAAAAACAGACAGATAGGTAGATAGAGATAAATGGATAGATAGACAGACAGACAGACAGACAGACAGATAGATAGATAGACAGACAGACAGACAGACAGACAGATAGATAGATACACTAGTACAGGGGTCCTAAAACTCCGGCCCCCCAGATGTTGCTGAACTACAACTCCCATGACTCTCTGGCCATCTATGTAATTCAAAGAATCATGGGAGTTGTAGTTCAGCAACATCTGGGGGGCCGGAGTTTGAGGACCCATGCACTAGTATTAAAGCATGGCAAAGCACAATAATTCAGACCTGTCCGAGTATTCATCAAATTATTTTTTTTTCATTAAAGCTTAGCAAATTAATCAGGGAAACGAGAAAAAAAAATAACAACAGTTTGTCTCTGCGATCACTGCCCCTCCCAATGCTGACAGATATTTCATTTTTCTACTATAATTATCCGTAAGGTATTTGAGAAAGACACAATTTTGAGAGACAGGTTTTTTTCTTTTCCCATTTATAACGTGTCTTTCAAAATCCATTTTTTTTTCCCCATGACAGCTGCAAGAGGACATGTCAGAAAAAAAAACAAATATTGAGAAGAGGAAGAAAATGACACAAGCAGCTCCTTGTTGTTATTGTGCCACTTTACTTGTTTTCTATATATATATATGTGCTATAAAATAGTAAGCTTATGCTAACTGTGCTTGCTGCTACAAATAGAATGCTCATTGGTGACAATATCATAAACTAAAGCCTGATTGGCTACTGGCAGATTAGTTCCTTCCATACCCTCTTTAAACAGTGAGCCATTTTGTTAGCCATTATTCAAATATACTCCATTGTTAGCTTAGGCAATGGAAACATACCATGGCTTGTTGTATATGATAGACAAATTTTAGTAACTTTTGTTAGCCCTGACATTTCTTATAGCCCAGTATTTATTATTTTGATGAGCCACTGTCAGCCATATCCTGTTAAAGCAGTGGTCTGCAACCCAGTCCTCATGGACCACAACCAGTTCAGGTTTTGTCAGTATCTCCATTGGATTAAAACAGGTAGATACATAAATCCTGGACTGTTTGTGGTCCACGAGGACTGGATTGGAGAGCGCTGCTGTAAAGGATTCCCAGCAGTGACAACCACCAGTTCTAGGCCACATTGTCTTACTGTATATTTTCATATAATAAATTACCATGGCCCACCACTTGTTCGGACATGTTGGTGATAGTTTGTGTATCTGTCCAAGTGTGCGTAGGACAGGGGTGCCCAAAAGATAGATCCCCACATGTTTTGAAAACTACATCTTCCATGATGCTTTGCCATTCTTAAGGCATTCAAAGCATCATGGTAGTTGTAGTTGTAGTTCTACAACATCAGTGGATCAACCTTTTTGGCACCATTGGTGTAAGGGATAGGTGCCATAGTGTGACTGGTGGATGAACATTGATTATGGTGTATATCGGTGCTAGTTTTTGTGTGTACCGCTGTCAGTGTATGGAGAATAAAAAGACAAAAAAATAGCAATATCAGAGAGGTAGGGAACAGGGCAGAAGACATGGGACAGAGCCTTTCAAAACATATTTCCTCCTATTATTTTAATGATGAGTAAGTATCCCAGCATCCATATAAAAGCAGAACATACAAATAGGTGGTAGTTTACTTTGGCTCGATTCCCTCCTACATCAAAGTTACAAAGTTACTGAACACCCAAATATTATTACAGCGGACTATTACTTACCACCTTGCTTGTCAGTCTGAGATCCTGATGATAAATTGGACGAGTACGATTGATCACAGGACCCACTTGATATTCTGCAGTAAAAAGAAGGATAATTTGTCTTAAATCCATGTGCTAATGTGAGTCACAGTCAGCAAGTCAGTGTGAATAATTTCTTATTCTCATTTCAGAAGGTGTAGCTGTTTCCCTTATATATTATAGATTTGTACATTTCAAGAAACTGAATAATGTCAATTGGGTTAATTTAATATTTTAAAGTTCAATATTATTTTTTAAAACTTTTGGAAATTGTAAAAACTTGTAAAACCCTGTAAATTACAACAGAATTTATGGACGCATCTGAGAACGTTATAAGAATTATCTGCACTGACTAGAGATGTCAATAAAAGAATATGAAAAAGTCCCCAGTATTGATAAATGGAACACTACTTACTGGACAGAGAGACAAATTACAATGCAGATATAAAAAAGAATTGAAATTCAAACATCCACAGAAGGATATAAAATCAAATAAACTATGTGGGTTGGATGAATAAATTAGACAACTGCACAATTAAAAAGATATATTGAGAATTATCAAAGCAGTCTCATCTAGCAGTCTCATCTATTTCAAGACAAGTAAGGGGTTCAGATATTGTTGACTTACTGGGTTCCCGAGCCGTCCAGTAGAGTGCGGTAAGTGCAGATCTCCTGCTCCAGGCGTGATTTTATATCAAGAAGTGTCTTATATTCCTGGCTCTGGTTTTCCATTTCACAACGGATCTCTGACAGCTCAGCTTCAACTTTCTGGATCAAGGCCTGCAGCTGAGAGAGCTGCATACAATACCGTGCCTCTGTCTCTGCTAGACTTCCTTCTAGAGCAGCTTTCTGGAATTAAAAGTCACACCATGGGGATCATATAACAATGAATGAAACTGTTCTACTGAGTGGCCACGCTTCTCAACTTAAAGATAACCCAATTCTGTGCCAATGGGGGTGTTGATAAAAACTGGATCAAAGATGGTCCTTCAGAGATAGCATGAGCAGCACTGTTCTATAGTATTAGTGAAACATTTTAATTATTCAAATAGGTTGAATTAAGGTTCACAAATGAAATGAAAACAATATGGAAAAGAAGAAGAAATCATATGTACCATGCTCAACTGAGACTGCAGGTCGATCTCTAAGGTCTGAATGGTACGCCTTAACTCAATAATTTCTGTCTGGACAGTCTTGAACTCCTGACTGCTAGAGGACATCTGCTTGGTCACCTCTTCTGTCTGAAAAAGAAAAAACACAATAACACACTATCCTCATGCCTATCAAGGCTTACATACATTTCAAAGTATACATCCTCAGATGAAGATATTTTAATACATTTTTGTTCTCAACATTTAGGTTTACCATCTCACCTGTTCCTGGAATCTCTTTTCAATCTCCCTTTGGTTCTTGGTTACAAGTTGCTCATATTCATGTCTCATTTCATCCAGAACTTTCTGCAAGTCAATGCTAGGTGCTGCATTCATATCTACATTGACTGTACCAGCCATCTGTCCTCTCAGCACCTTCATCTCCTGCACATTGAGAACAATTTATATGTTAATATTATATAAACATGACTATGCAATCCTTCCATTAGGTGGCGCTGTTAATTTACGTTTATATGAGTCACACAGCACCTCCTAGTGGTAAACTGAAGTGCCACATTTATATTTCCACGGTTCTTTCACTTTAAATAACTATAGTACGACAGGGACACAGCAGCTCTACAATGGAAAGTTTATGTAAACCATTACAGGAGAGGTTTTTATTAAACAACGAGTTATGAAAAATACTGATTCGACATCCTTATTGTAAAATACAAGCAAAAAAAAAGTTGGGACATTTTTGCAGCTCATATATTTTGGGTTAAATTGTTCAATTACTTGGTCATCTTACCACACCTCATAATTTATTAAAGTCTTTAGATGGTTTGTTTCAGCAGTGCTCTTACCTCTTCATGGTTTTTCTTTAGAGCAGCTAATTCCTCCCTCAAGCAATCCAGCTGCATCTCCAGGTCACTTCTCCTGAGGTTCAGATCGTCCATCACTCTTCTTAGGCTGTTGATATCACCTTCTACTGACTGGCGGAGGTGGAGCTCAGTTTCATACCTATGCAACATAAGAAACGTTAGAACCCATTGATCATCTACATATATATATGATGAAAGTCCTGATGAAAGTTCAGTTGAGGAACTGAAACGTTGATGTTTCTGACAATAAAAGAACAACATTAATTATTAAGCCAGGAGTGACTGTATTTTCTAAATAAGGTATTTGCAGTGTTATTTGGCACCAGGTTTATTTTTCTGACTGGAGATTGGAGTGCAAAAGTTTGGATTTATATAATAGTTTTAATACATTGCTAAACACAAATACACACACCAGTCAAGCCATAAGACTTGCTTTCCCCACAGAAATCTCACATTAACAGTTCTCTCACTACTGCAAGGGATTCTGGGTAGGCGTATGCAAATGAGCTCAACAAAGAACAAAGAACCACATTTTTGCCTCAAAATAATAATAAATGTGGTTCTTTGTTGAGCTCATTTGCATACACCTACCCAGAATCCCTTGCAGTAGTAAGAGCACTGTTAAAGTGAGATTTCTGTGTATTTGTGTTTAGCAATGTATTAACTATCCACTTACTTCAGGTGGAAGGGGTTTTTATCCACACTTTTTTCACCACCACAACTCTTTTGTGTGTGTATATATATATATATATATAGTTCTACTAAGAACGGAACTCACAGTTCTTCGTTCCATTGGGTATTTTTTTTTATCATGTTCTTGAAGAAGGTACTTATATCTTTTGGAATGTGCTTTTTTATTCACTAAGTACAATGTTTTGGTCACACTAGGTCCTATAGCAGTGGCTAATCAAGGCATCACATATATCTGTACACTGCATTTCCCAAGATGCCCTGCCATTCTATAGACATGCAAAGCATCAAGAGGAACGTAGTTCACTAACGTTTGGTCTACTTGGGTTTACCATCACTATAAGAAGTGTTGCATTTGCTAAGATAATTATATCTGGAATTCTCCTTGACGTTTTGCATTCATTTATGTTATGTTACTATGTTTATGAATAACTATTAACTTTTAATAATTATCAATAATTACAGTTGCTCTTTGGGGGGCAACCATTTTTTACTCCTCTTTGCAAGGAAGCCCAATTTTCTACTAAGACCATGCATCATTTAAGTTTTGAAACCATCCCAGATTGCACTTGCTAAGTGCCCTGCTTTCATGCTGTTCGAATTCAAGAGCACATATTGACTCTTGGTTGCCGGTTGTGTATTTTAGCCTGTATAGGCTGTGCTTGGGACCAAAAAGCACTTAGATATGGCTGCCACCATGGAGTAAGGATAAGCCAGTAGATGCACTTTCATGAGCTATTTACTTATATGTATTCAGTAAAAAATAATAAACAAACACATTATAATACTTGGGATTTTTAATTAACGAAATAATAAACAATAATGACAAATTCCCCTTTAAATTACCCCAAAAAAATTATGGATCTAATGAAAACGTCTTATAATAACATTGTGTTTGGCATTTCTGACCCCCTTGATGTGTTTGTTCTCGATGTATTGATACTGAAATAAACATTCTATCAATAGCTCAGGTTACCAGCACTCACTTGATTTTGAAATCATCTGCCGCCAGCCTGGCATTGTCAATCTGCAAGACAATGCAGGCATTGTCCCGAGAGGCGTCAGCGATCTGAAAATAAAGAAGAGAGAAATATTAGTTAATTTTTTTTTCTGGGCAATAGGATGTTAGCTCTATCAGACTATTTTATTTCAAATGAACTATTTAAACAATTAGCAATATAATAAAACAAGGTATTATTCAGAGACTCCATATGGTCAATACAAGTCTGACCACAGAGAAGGAGAGAGACTATATTCATGGATTGAAAAAAAATTTTTTAAAAGCTCCTTATTTATTGAAACAAATATAGAAATAAAAGATAGGCTTATATACTATACCCATTTTCAAAGCAAAAGCACGTCTTAATCTTGATTTTATGCAAAGGCCATTGTAACATTCCAAAGTTTTCTTAAACTCTTTGAATATTTTAGTTTTTAATAGTTGGTTTCTACCATAACTGCTGGTAGACTGTTCCATGTGTCTGTGACTCTTTCTGTAAATCCCAAGTTACTGTGAAGAAATTAGAATTCTCTAGAATTGATGGCCTTCTGTTAGACCAAATCATTATGTTTGTGTATCAGTAGTGTTATAAAGATTCTCCTTTGGGGAAATGTATATTATAATGAAAATTTCACTTTTAGTCATGTCTGTGTCTTTAAATATTTGTAGTATAATAACAAAGAGAAAGGAAAAAAAATGAACAAGTATTGTTGGTGGCTGGAGCTGTGTACTTTTTTTTTTTTTTAAAGATTAGGAAAGATTAGTCGTGAATCAGACTGAAAAGTAGAACGATACTGCCATCTCTCGCACATCGTCTCTTACTTCAAGCCTCAGAATGAAATGTAATATTAAGGTGTTTCCAAAAATGACATAAAGTAAGATTGTTAAGTTTATTTACCGAGTGTAAAACTGGCAACTGTATAATGTAAAAATGCGACTGGAAAACTAGGGCGGGGTATAGAGAATTTAGATACAGAGAACACAGCACCGATATTCTTTTAATTCTATTTGAATCTATATTAGATGCAAGATTCATTAGAGCAAATAAAGTTTTAATAGCACTGTACCTTTAAGAAAATACAGGCCTCCATTTGGGATTTATCTAATCACCTGTTACAGTATTTAGTATGCATTAAGACTCTAAGACAGAGATAGACGATATGAGGCCTAATGTTTTTGAGATTTATAATCCAGTCTTATATTTATGTCCCTGAGCATAGAATCTCCATTACACTCTATGCTTTTTGGGAAAACCTAAGTTGTAGCAGTCAAAAGTGCGACTTTGATTTTTAGACTGCTTTAAAAATGACTGCTAAGTCATAGGATGGTGAGATAGAAAATACCTACACAGTTAGAATTATTCACCAAACTCGCAATTTTCACATATTATATACGAATGTAAAAATTGAGTTAGAAAAGCTGATTTAGAAAAATTCTCCAATTCAACTATACCCTCAACTTGGCTATTTTGCCTCATTTTGTTCAATCAAAATTAATTCATGGAAATTCTGATCTTCTGGCTCGAATATCCTACAGACAAAATCTCACAGAGACAGTTACATTAATTTAGTTAATGAGAATACGACAGTGCGTCTGTATCGCTTGACCACCAATATTTTTCTATACTGTTAATCTAGCTGAACAAGAAAAAATGATTAGGATTAGAATATGCTGTAAAATCTGTGTTTTGGAGGTACTTTACATGGACGATATAGTGGGACTTGGTCTTTTTGATGTAAAGATTATTTTTTGTGTGGCTTGGAATACTTTGTAAAAAATACTATCAAAAGTTGTTTTTGCAAAATAAAGCATTTACAGGTGCATATACTCCGAGTTGCTATCTCACCTTTTTCTGTAAATCCTCAATTGTTCTGTAGTAGTGACTGTAATCTTGGGCTGGCTTGGGGCCATGTGTCTCATACCAATGTCTGATCCTTTTCTCCAGTTCAGCATTCTGTTCCTCCAATTCACGTACTTTGTTTAGGTATGATGCCAAACGATCATTGAGATTCTGCATTGTTACCTTCTCATTGCCTGAGAGCAATCCATGGTCATCTCCAAACCCAAAGCCTCCTCCATGGCCAAAGTAACCACCAGAGCAAGCACCGCCACCAAGGCCAGCTCCACCAGCATAACATGCACCACCACCAAAGCCAGACCCACCTCCAATGCAATATTCTCCACCAATACCAGCACCCACACTTCCAACATGACCACGTGTCATGCTTCCAGCATAGTTACCACATGATGCTCCACCACCATACACTCCACCAGAGCTGTGCTTTCCAGAAGACACCCTAATACTTGAAGATGAGCTAACACACCCAAGGGATCCCTTCCCCTTGACTGATCCAGATCCGTGTCGTAAACTCATATTGAGAAGCAGTAAAAGGCTGTATGTTGTAGGCAGAGAACTCTCAAGCTAGATCTTACACAGGACCACAGATGTACTGGCTCACTGATTCCTTTTATATCGGTGATACTTTGGGTGTCACCACTTAATTGGAGTTTTTCTGCTTGTGCCAGCAATGTTTTAACACTTTTTTTTTTTTTTTTATGATAATGGACACTCATTGTATGTATGTAGCATCTGGGTGTTATCTTATGTTCAGCAATAAAATGTAGTGTTTGACATCCAATATATGCACGATTAATTGTCTATAAACTAAAAGTAATCTTGTAGATCCTCAGGCAAAATTATGATAAATATTACACACATTAGGGCACTGCCAAGTATATTTTCACACACTATATTGTATTGTGGTTTATATGGTGTTATACTAGATTAGTAAATTGAGTTATTGGACCATGACAGTCAGGTATCACCAAATACACTAACCTGAGACAGATGATAACAGAGGACAGAGCATATCACCAGTCCATAGGATGGTCGGGATGATTGCAGAATTACTAAGGAAAATGAGGAAAGGTAATAAGCAAATAAGGACCCAGAAAGCTCTACCGAAAGCATAATAGTCAAAACAGGCCAAAGGTCAATACCAAGGACGAACATAGATAAATATAAACACACTTTTAAGCACAGAAACACAGGTTAGTTTAAATAGTATTAGGAAGATCCTTTTTGGCCGGTGTCAAGTTCCTGCGTCAGAACGTCCATGGATAGTGACACTGATGCCATGGAAACCAGCACCCTAGAATGATGACGTGCTTCAAAATCATTATAAGACTGGTTGTTAAAGCATTCAGCGTTTGAATTGACGCAGGAGATACTTTGGTTAGGAGCGACATGTGTGGAGTTGTTTCCAGCGTTAATAATCACACAGGAATAGTGCACGCTGAGATGGTGTAATAGGAGCAGATAACATGACAGGGACATGCTAAAGACAGAGTTTGCATGAAGTAGTAGGGGACGTTTTAATGAGACTTATGAGGGTTAAAAGGCAGAGTTTAAGTAGAGGTTATATGAAGCATTGATATGGAGTAATAGTAGGAGTTATAGAGGGAGGTTATGTGGAGTAATAGGAGGAGTTATAGGGAGAGGTTATATGGAGTAATAGGAGGAGTTATATAGTGAGGTTATATGGAGTAATAGGAGGAGTTATAGAGAGAGGTTATATGGAGTAATAGGGGGAGTTATAGGGAGAGGCTATATGGAGTAATAGGAGGAGTTATAGGGAGTGGTTATATGGAGTAATAGGAGGAGTTATAGGGAGAGGTTATATGGAGTAATAGGAGGAGTTATAGGGAGAGGTTATATGGAGTAATAGGAGGAGTTATAGAGAGAGTTATATGGAGTAATAGGGAGTTATAGGGAGAGGTTATATGGAGTAATAGGAGGAGTTATAGAGAGAGGTTATATGGAGTAATATGAGGAGTTATAAGGAGGGGTTATATGGAGCAATAGGAGGAGTTATAGGGAGAGGTTATATGGAGTAATAGGAGGAGTTATAAGGAGAGGTTATATGGAGTAATAGGAGGAGTTATAGGGAGAGGTTATATGGAGTAATAGGATGAGTTATAGGGAGAGGTCATATGGAGCAATAGGAGGAGTTATAGGGATAGGTTTCATGGAGTAATAGGAGGAGTTATAGAGAGAGTTTATATGGATTAATAGGTGGAGTTAAAGAGAGAGGTTATATGGAGTAATAGGAGGAGTTATAGGGAGAAGTAATATAAAGTAATAGGAGGAGTTATAGAGAGAAGTAATATGGAGTAATAGGAGGAGTTATAGGGAGAAGTAATATGGAGTAATAGGAGGAGTTATAGGGAGAGGTTATATGGAGGAATAGGAGGAGTTATAGGGAGAAGTAATATGGAGTAATAGGAGGAGTTAAAGAGAGAGGTTATATGGAGCAATAGGAGGAGTTATAGGGAGAGGTTAGATGGAGTAATAGGAGGAGGTATAGAGAGAGGTTATATGGATTAATAGGAGGAGTTATAGGGAGAGGTAATATGGATTAATAGGAGGAGTTATAGGGAGAGGTAATATGGAGTAATAGAAGGAGTTATAGGGAGAGGTTATATGGAGTAATAGAAGGAGTTATAGAGAGGTTATATATAGTAATAGGAGGAGTTATAGGGAGGTTATGTGGAGTAATAGGAGGAGTTATAGGGAGAGGTTATATGGAGTAATAGGAGGAGTTATAGGGAGAGGTTATATGGAGTAATAGGAGGAGTTATAGGAAGAGTCACTCTCAAGCTGTTAGTCAGGGAGTCAGAATTCCCAATTTTAAGCCTATATCACAAAACTGTGAACCACACTGTGCATAACCTTATACCACCCACCGTATGGCTGCTATACATTTATGAAGCAGTTACATTCTGGTCTCACTTTGTGGCTTTCCAGTAGTGGAAGAAAGCTAACATTAGAGTTCCAATTACTCTCCGATGGACTTGGATTTTTTTGAGTAAGATTCAACCACAACCACATACACCAGAGTAAGAGACTCTAGTTTTATCCCGTCTCTTCCTGGTCAGGGAATGTCTACTTGCTATCCATCATTTCCTGACAAAGTGAAGCAGCTAAAGGAAATTTTAAAGATATATGTCTTTCCTTTTCCTTTTTTTATTTCTTTGCACATTATGAATGCATTATCTATGTTATTATTATTATTATTTTATTATTTATATAGCGCCATCAAATTCCATAGTGCTGTACAATGGGTGGACTAACAGACATTTAATTGTAACCAGACAACTGGACGTACAGGAACAGAGAGGTGGAGGGCCCTGCTCCATGAGCTTACATTCTAGAGGGAGTGAGGTATAATGACACAAATGGTAAAAGTAGGGGTACGAAGTATGTTGTTAAAAAAGCATTAATTGAGGGCTTAGTAGGTAATTTTTGACAATTGCAGGAGAGGAGTCATGGTGGGTGGGGGATGAAAATATGCTAATAGTTTAATTGATATGCTTTTTGAAGAAGTGAGTTTTCAATGATTTTTTGAATGAGTGGAGACAGGGGGAAATTCTTACCAGGAAGGGAAGGGAGTTCCACAAAAGAGGTGCAGCCCTGGAAAAGTCTTGGAGGCGAGCGTTAGAGGTGGGAGTACGGACAGAGGATATACATAGGTCTTTGGCAGAGCGTAGGGGCCTCGATGGGACATACTTGTGTATTAGGGAGGATAGGTAGGTTGGAGCAGCATTATGTAGGGACTTGTAAGCAAGCACCAGAATTTTAAATTGAGCCCTATATCTAACTGGAAGCCAGTGCAGGGACTGACAGAGCGGGGAGGCATGGGAGGTGCGGGCGGACAGGAAAATAAGCTTCGCCGCCGCATTCATTATAGATTGCAGCCGTGCAATCTGGGAACACGTAAGACCACTGAGAAGGGGATTGCAGTAGTCCAGGCGAGAGAAAACAAGAGCATGTCACAATTTAAGTGCAGGGTTACATCACATAACTCCAAAGTATTTATTTAGAAATTCTCATACTGTCTAATTTATTTGTACCTGAAGAAACAATTAATGGGAGAGGTAAAAACCTTGAATCTGTTTTATATACATAATAAAATTTTAGCACGAACATACATTAATTCAACAGACTACCCTTAAATAGTACACATGGCTCATAGCTTCTCCCATTGCAGGTAAATGTGACTCAGTACTAACTTGTAAAAGAAAGCCTCGTAAAATCAAACCATCAAAATGAATAACAAGCTGGGGCGAATTGTGGAGAAATCGGGAGTGAATGAGAACCAGCAGAGCCAATTGACTTTGTTTGCTCTTAAATGACTCCCTTTCACCAGTCCAAATAGGAACATAGCGAGATTTAACTAGATATTTCACCATTACTTGGTCTTCGCTACAGTCGCTGTCATAGAACGCAAATTAAAAGGCAACCATCACTTATATGGAAATTATACCTTTGAAGAAAACATTGAAAATCACATATAATTTGTGTCAATTAGTTTTATGTGATACTCTATTTTATTATGCATGTATTTGAAAGATTGACATTACAATCTAGTTGAGTCCTGGCACAGCAAGGCACAGATTGTATTGGGGGAGAAGAAACCTACTGCAAATGAAACATTGATTAGTTTTCCTCTCTTTATGCTTTTTATTTATATAAATATCAGACAACAGAGTTTATAACAATAATTGACAGAATAAAGGTAAATGCTGTGGATTTCTATATTAAATTTTATTTAATTTTTTCAGTCAACATAGAATTAAAATTCTCAGAAGCATCATTTTTCTTTTAAGTAAGCATTGTGGACATATGATTTTCTCAAAGATATATATTTTTTTAGTTAGAAAATGTAAAATTATTTAAAACCTGCACATTTTTATTCAACATTAATTCCTGTAACTAGACTAAGTTTGTTGGTGATATACCATATATTTCATAGCCCCCTTTTTTATGTTAGCTCCACTGCCTCTCTGGATCAGATCTATATCCATGGATAAGAGTTAAAATTGGTAATTAATTTGATTCATGGAAATATAGTAAAATATTATTTATACAGTAAGGGCTTAGAAGGGCTTAGGAGCTATAGATGTGATTGTGCGATCAGACTTGTGCATTGTTGATTTCACAGAAAGAGCAATCGTAGCACAGGGGATTTAAATAGCACGTTACCAGCCATATATTACAAGTAGTTGTACATGCATGGTGAAGCATGAGTTCACCTTGTAACAACAGAAATGTTTAAGACACTAATACCAATAAATATATTAGTGTGTGAAACAAAATATAAAGTTGCAACCAATAAGTGTTACATTACCCAAAATACTAACTCAAAAATCAATAATAATAAATTGGTGCACTAAATATTTTATTCTACATAAAACCTGTTATAAAGTAGTGTAATACCATAACACAACTTGGTATGTCTCCCAAACCACCTCTAAAACAAACTCACAAATGTAGAGTGGTACCGTGCCACAAACGCTACTTCGTCTGATCAGATCCCTGTTATCGGTGAAAACAAATGCAGAAGCACACAGACTGCAAAACATCTTAGATCCAAGATTCTTTATTGTTGCTTGCATCTGATGATAAAAATTTAAATTTTAAAATTTAAAAACTACTCAAGACATGCAGGTTTATTTAAAGAGCTTCTCTCCACTGACTTACACCACTTGTAGCTGCTCTCGCCGACGCTGTAACATGTAGAGTGGATCTTAGCGTGCTCCCACCCCGCTTAGCGCACCAATTTATTATTATAGATCATTTTGCCCAGTGACATATTTGTGTGTCCCTCATCACCGGGCTTAGCTTAAGCAGAGAGCATTTGGCAGACTTGAAGCCTGCAGTGGACGCAGGGAGTGTAGCAGAATGGAAACCTCCAAGTACTTTTATATATACTTTCCCCTTTTATTTTGCATGTTTCATCCTTTTTCCATTCAGGAAACTTCATACGAACAGAATTCTTTTGTATCCCAAACGATGACCACCCCTGTACCCCATTTGAACATTGACACCGACAACTTAAGTGCGAAACCGCAAGGAAAGTAATTAATGAATGCTTCCCCTGGGTGGTTGCAATTTCGTATAACCGAACACGTGGCAGACAAAAGAATGGTAGCCATCTTGTCTCCCGAACATGGGCAGCGGTACTTGGTCATCGAGTGCCTGGAACTCTTTTCAGCTAGGCACTTGCGTGAATGCCAGTAAAACCGCTGCCCATTTTATTTCCAGACCACCTAGACGAAGAGATATGAACTACCAAACAGGGAGAGCATTCTGAAATGAAGAAATTACACTGTGTGGTGTTTGCACTGGAACCTCATGAACGGAGACCAGCTAGGGCACCTATTTCCCTGGAACTGTTTTGGGCTAGTGCTTCGTGCCTGGCCGGTCAAAATTTTACCTCGATGGCATTTCAGTTTCACTGAACCAATCTGAGTGTTTCTTGGATATGTTATACACTCAGATCTGGGCTATTGGGGAATGTACTTTGTGTGGGGTTCCTATGTACGGTGGGGGTACTTTTGGGGTATATTCTATTGGATTTTCTGTACCTGAGATAATTAACTTAGAGGGTTTTTCTAAGCAATTATCTCTCAGACACAGAGGATCTTGGGATTAAAACCCCTGTTTTATTGCATTGTATACCTCTTGTAAGGGACTGGGCATAAAAGCCATGTGTGACAATATAAAGTTAGTTGTACTCCCAGAACTATGTGTCATCCAGTTGCCGGCGTGGAGATGGGATATTTCTTTGGTGTTTTTCTCGTTCCTCATTGTACTTTGGTGGATCCAGCAGAGAAGAGTCCCTCCTAGGACTAGGGCTCCGCTACAAGGAGCAGCTCCCATCAGACTCCAGTTATGAAGTTATAATGTTCTAAAAGAGTGTGACTACAATCATTCGGGAGGGCACCAAAGCATTACCAGCCCCATAACCACTGCAGCACACTGTAATGGCTTTAGTGCTTGGAGTGTTAATATTATTATTGGTATTTATAGAGCGCCCGCTACACAAGTTCTACTTACCCTCGCGGGCACCACCATCTTCTACTGGCAGGTCCACTTCAGTTCCTTGTCACATGCTTGAGAGTACAACATTGAGGTATATGGAGGATCCCGCGAGACCACTAGATCCTCCAGAGACAAAGCCAATTCCCTACAGCCGTCATTGGTGAAGGTTGGGGGGATTGACACTTCTACACTGCAGTAGATCCTCCCATTGTCTAGAAGTTTCAGGTGTAGGAAATATACAGAGAAAAAGAAGTCCCTATTATTATGAAATTATTGCTCTTAATATTTTCTTTGATCTATAAGTCAATGCCTCTCGTTGTTCTAATTGGATGCTATCAGTTTCAGACCCCTAGCGAAGAGTAAACAGGCACAAGTCAAGGGATGTAGGAGACAGAATAGTCAGTATAGCCAGACATTAGGTCAGTGTGAGCAACAGACCAAGGGTAATAAGTACAAACCAAGAAGAGAAAAACAAAAATCAGATTAACTGAGAAAATCCAGAGAAAATTAATACACGGCAAATACTCTTGGCAATGGAAATAGTCTCAATGAAATAGATCCATTTGATTTGTGTATATATATATATATATATATATAGGCCTACCCCTGGTAAAGCCAGTTTTTGGTGGTAAACTATATATATAAATAATTAACTTAGGCAAAATGAAATGCACAGAAATTAATTATAAATATAATTTGATGACTTTGCTTGTAACATGTTTTCTAATCCTCTGTGTAGCTGTTGCTGACTCATGTGTTATTAAGCAGATTACTAATTGGTATTCATTAATCGTTTCAATATTGAATTACATGCCAAGCATTTGTGATAGGTTGGAGAAAAAGCAACCAGGCGAAGTACATTCATTTCAAATTTCATTCTTCGTGGGAGACATGGGCAAACATTTGGCAGTTTGGAACCAATAAACGGGCACTCACTGTCCCCTACCCACCTAAAAATCACTATTTAGTAAATATACCTTGAGCATTTTTTTAATTAATCTGAAAAGTTACTGTGTAGATAAATTGAACTGATATTTGCATGGATATTAGATGAAGATTTTTGAAAAAAATAAAAATAAATAAATAAAATCCCTTTAGATTTTCAGATCATTTTTTTTTTTTTTTTTTATATATGCATATGTGTGAGATAATACAGAAGTTTGCAGATGTCCCAAAACACAGATTTCGTTGATTTACTATAGAAAATAGTGTCAGGTGCATTCATTTTATTTTTTAATGAAGGAAATCTTTTTCTTCTTGTCTGTTTACTTAGAATTGCAGTTAGAATTAAGAATACTGATTGTGACTGCCTGTTTGCCAGCCTCCTACCCTGTGATTATGGCCCTGTGACAAACTGAACCTCGTCAAGGATTATTGGAGGGGCCTGCTGGCCAGCCTATTACCTCTGGACTATGGGCCCTGCAATATACCTTGCCCAGTGGTTAATTAAAAAAAAGACACAGATAGGCAGAATCCGGAGCCATCGCAACTATGAACATTCACAAGGGTTGCACATGGAGCTGCATCACAGGGGGAGCCAAAGCCTAACACGTTTCAATAGTTCTTAAACGTACGAATTAACCCTGCTTACCAGCAAGTAATCAGCTTGAAGGGCTCTATCTAACTCTGACAACAGAGAAAATAACATGAGCCATTAATTATTCAATTCTAACGTAGAGCTGATCTTTGTGCCATTGTAGTTTAACTGAGAGTGAACTTTATTTAGACATATTAGTGACAATCACACTCTTATTATTATATTTATTATACTTTTTATTTATTTTATTGACTTTGATTTACTTTTTTTTCCAATCCACATAGAGGTTGTCCATTATCAACTATTCAGAGATAATTACCTTTGAAAACAGTGGAAGCGGAATAGATCCTGACGAGCCTACTGCTACACATTGAAATTGTGACTTCCGAGTTCATTATTCAACTTTTTACACCATGAATTAATGAAGTCTATATTAAAGGGACACTATAACGTTAGGAATACAAAACTGTATATAGTGTCCGTTGCAATTAACTATGGGTCTGACCCAGGGGCATACCTAGAGCATTTGGCACCCGGGGCAGATCCTGTGCTTGGCACCCCCTCCCCCCCCCACCCAAAAAAAAAAAAACCTGTAAAAAATGTTAAAGGTTTTCTTTCTTTTTTTTTACAATTTGTAAACTTTGCAAAACCACTGTCAGCCCCTCCTACAAAACCCTTGTCCTGCCCAGCCCCTCCTACAAAACCTCTGTCCTGCCCCGTCTACAAATCCTGTACTGCCCCGTCTACAAAACCCCCGCAACCCCCTTCCAATAAATCCCCTGCTTATCCCCCCTTATAAAGACTCCTGTCCCAATACAAAAACCCCGCCCCCTTCTACAAAATCCCTGCAGCCCCACACACACATTTACAGGCACACACTCAGTTACAGACAGACAGTCACACACTCAGTTACAGGCAGACAGTCACACACAGTCACAGGCAGACAGTCACACATACACTTTTCCTCCGTGCGGCCAGTTTATCAGCTGTTTGCTTGTGTGAGCTGTACTGGCCGCACGGCACCCTAACTACCATGGGGCACTGTGCGGCCACAGCTCACACAGCCCCCTCCAGCCAGGGCCGGTGCAAGGATTTTTGCCGCCCTAGGCAAAAGTAAAGTTTGCCGCCCCCCCCCTTGTGACATCACAATGCCCCACCCATATGATTTGCCATGTTAACTAATGCCAGTGCTGCAGTGCCGCCGTGTTTACATTAAAAGGCCTGCAGGGACAGGCTATAGCAGGCCCGGACTGGCCATCGGGCATACCGGGCAAATGCCCGGTGGGCCGCGATGGCCGTGGGGCCGAGGCCGGCACGGGATCTCCCCGGCCGGCCCCTGCAGGGCCAGCGCTATCCGAGCGCCGGCCCTGCTATGTGCCTCCGTGGGCCGGCGGGGAGATCAAAGATCTCCCTCACCAGCCCACAGGCATGGAGATGCGGCCGCTGGCTGGGGAGGGAAGGAGGGAGGGAGGAGAGGACCGGCGGAGCTCTAGCCAGCAGCTCCGCCGGGTCCTCTCGCGGGATTCTGAGCGTTGCCGCGGTTACCGTGGCAACGCTCAGATCTCGCGAGAGTGAACTCTAACCCGCAGGTTAGAGTTCACTCTCACCACTGGACCACCAGGGAAGGATGGCAGCACAGCCCCCCTCCACGGCAACACGGCTTCCCCCCCTCCCAGGCAGAACGGATCTCCCCCCCCCTCAGGATAAAGGTAAGAAGGGAGGGAGGAAATAACTTTTTTTTTTTTTTATTAGTAAAAAAAATATATTTAAATTTAAATAAAAAATACATTCACTCACACACACAGCACCACCAGACACACACAGCACCCCCCAGACACACACAGCACCCCCCAGACACACACAGCGCACCCAGACACACACAGCGAACCCAGACACACACAGAACCCAGACACACACAACGCACCCCTCAGACACACACAACGCACCCCTCAGACACACACAACGCACCCCTCAGACACACACAGCGCACCCCTCAGACACACACAGCGCACCCCTCAGACACACACAGCGCACCCCTCAGACACACACAGCACACTCCCACACACACAGCACACTCCCACACACACAGCACACTCCCACACACAGCACACTCCCACACACAGCACACTCCCACACACAGCACACTCCCACACATATACAGCACACACATATATATATAAAATAACCCTCAGTGAGTTAACAGACAAAGAAAATTAGAAACCTAGAATGTGACAGCAGATAAAAACACCCTCACACACAGCACCCCTCTTACATACACACACTGCGCCCCTCACACATACAATAAGTCCAAATATATATATATATATATATATATATACATACACACATACACACACTACAGCACCCCTCACACTGCACCACTACACACATTACGCTCCAGATTCACACTAGATCCCTTGCCCTATATGCACTCTTAATCCTCTACACACACACACACACACACACACACACTGGGTCCTTTACACAGTAGATCTCCTACACACACACACACTACATTCCTTGTCCGCAAACACATACAACATTCTCTAAACACACCCTCTCTGCAACCCCTACACACACTACGTCACCTATACACACACACTTCAGCCCGTATGCACACACTCGCTGCATCCCATATAAAACTATGCCCCCTATACACACACTCTCTACAGCCCCTAGCCACACATATTACACCACAAACACAAATGAAATTGACCTATTTACACATTACCACACCACACTCTATACACACGCAATCCCACAAGCAGGCTCCAAACATATGCACCATGCACTTTCCTGGCCCTTTTGTCGTCTGGTATCCCACTTGTGGTGACACCAGAGACAATTTAAAAGCAAACACAGCGCAAGCATGTTATTAAATTTGCTTGCGCTGCGCAGAACAAATTCAGGGCCTTTTTCTAATGCCAGAGCTCTTCAGCAGGGCTCTGGGCATTGAACCAACATGCTCACTTTGAGAGGGGGTGTGCTTGTCGTTAGTGATGACAAAACACACACTCTCTGACCCCGCCCCCTTCTTAGGGGGCCGCTCTGATTGAAAAATGCCCGGGCCTAATTTTTTTCCCAGTCCGGCCCTGGGCTATAGACACCAGAACCACTACATTAAGTTGAAGTGGTTCTGGGGACTATAGTGTTTCTTTAATGTGAGGTAAATTAGAGCTTAGTGCCACGAATAATATACTAGATTGCCTACTTACAACCAGATGAGGATGATGATGGGCTCTAGCTGCAGTCTGGCTCCACTGGTCTGGTGTAGAACAGGCTCTCTGGAGGCGGTTTGTAACTGTGGTCACAAAAATCAATGTTCTGGGAGAACGGGAAGCAGCTACATTTTTGGGGGGTCCTTTACACAGCTCAAGGTCTGGGTCCCAGGGTCCACCTTCATGTTCCACCAATGAGTTTGTTCACAGGGGGTGGAGTGTGTAGGGGATGTCCTGATTTGTGTGTAAGGAGTGCATTGTGTGAAATTATGTTTGTATGTGTAAGGGCTGCAAGGTGTGTTTCTGTGTATGTACGGGATGCATTGAATGTGTGTAAGGGGTGCATTGAGTATGTTTAATGAATGCATTGTGTGTTTCTGTGTGTGTAAGGGATGCATTGTGTGTAACGGTTGCATTGCTTGTGTATGTGTGTCTGTGTGTGTAATGCATTGTGTGTTTTTCTGTGTGCAAGGGGTGCATTGTGTGTATGTGTGATGAATGTCAATCTCTCCCCCGCTCCAATTTCCTTTTCCCCCTCCCAATATCTTTTTCTTTCTCCACCCCCCCTCCTAATTTTTCTCCCCTCCCCCCAACCTCTGCTGTAGCGTGGCCGAGCTCTGTATGGTCCACGGGTACAGGAGACAGATGCTCCCTGTACCCGCGGACCATGATACAGGGCTCGGCCACGCTACAGCCCCTCTCCTCAGTCTGCGCCCGGGCGGTGCGCCCTCATGGACGCACCAGCCCGGGAAAGCTGCAGCCGCCTGAGGCTCTCTGCAGAGCGCTCGGGCGGCTGCAGCATGGGGGGGACGGCGCTCCTGGTCATGGCACCCCCCCACCATGGTGGCAGCCGGGGCGGACCGCCCCCTCTGCCCCCCCCCCCGCCCCACCTTAGTACGCCACTGGTCTGACCTCCACCCGGTCATTAAAGGGCTAAGAATCCTTTTTTTACTTACCTTTTCCCAGCCCCGAGGTTATTCTGCGCAGATTCTGTATCCTCCAATGTCACAGTGATGGGGAACTTAATGTCCATGCGTGGCGAGAGGCTTCCCCATAGGAAAGCATTGAATCAATGCTTTCCTTTGGGGATTTTGAAGATTCTAGATGTCCTCATGCAAATTGTAAGGACATCCAATGTTGTCTCACAGAGTTAAAGCCAGAAAGCGCCTCTTGTGGCTGTCTGGAAGTCAGACTCACCACATCCTTATCACCACCACAGCCCATATCCCCTACCACCATAGTCCCTATCCCACCAACACAGCCTCTATCCCACCCTCACTAAAGCCCCTATCCTTCACCCTCCAACCTAGATATCTCCTCCCACAATGGCTCCTATCCCCCACCACAGCCCCTATCCACCCTACTACAGCACCTATCCCACCCACAGAGCCCTATCCTCCCAACATAGCCCCTATTCTCCCAACATAGCCCTATCCCCCTACCCCAGCCCCTATTCCTCTCCATAGCGCACACACCCAAGTACATCCCCTATCCTTTGGGCACCAAGAGGGCCAAAAACGTCTGTGACTTTAGTGTTCCTTTAATTTGTTATTCTAAATAGTATTTTTTCACATGCAGATGTACTATGCACAGGGCCGGACTGGCCCACTGGTATACCAGAAAATTTCCTGGTGGGACAGCATATCTTCAGGCTGGTGCACAGCCGCTTACTTCTTATAGCATGGCTGAGCATACAGTAGGTCGAGGATCTTCTGTATCCTCTTCCCATGCTGACAGGAAGTGCTCTTAGTGAGAGCACCTCCTGTCAGACTGAGTAGAGGAAACAGAAGATCCTCAGGGAAGGGGTGAGAGACACATAGAGGGGCTGAAGGGGAAATGTGATACATTGGGGGGAATAATAAAAATGAAAATCCAGCACACTCGCTTATCTACTAAACAGTCATTTTAATGCTGAACAATTTTCAGTTTTATTAAAAACACCTAATCTAGGCAAAAAAATATAATGGGGGTTTAGTTACAGTATATGATCATACATTGCATAAGCCTGCCACATTGGGGGAAATAAAACACATGGAGGGACTGAGAAAGGGGAACAAGAGACAATCAGAGGGGCTGGGGAAGGGGAGAATGAGACACGCAGAGGGACTGTAGGGAAAGAAACACACAGAGGTGCTGGGGTGGAAGAAAGAGACACACAGAGGGTAGGGGAGATAGAGACAAAGGGACTGGGGCTAAGGGAAAACAAAAAGAGTTTGGGGGAGAAAGACACAAAAGGGGCTGGGGAAAGAGACATACAGAGGGTCTGGAGAAGAGAAAAAAGAGACAGAGGTTGCGAGGGAGTAAAAGATACACAAACGGGGGTTGTACGAAACACACAAAGGGGGTTGTAAGAGATACACAAGAGGGGTATAAAACACACAAAGGGGAACTAAGGTGCCTGTGTCTCCTGCTCTCCCTGTAACTAAGTTCTTCAGCACAGGAGTCTATGCTGAAGAGTTGATTGACAGGTGAGACTGAAGGGACACTATAGTCACTAGAGCCACTACAGTTTAATCTAGTGGTTCCGGTGTCTATTGCATGTCTCTGCAGGCTGAGAACTGTAAATGCTGCTTTTTCAGAGAAAAGTCAGTGTTTACATTGCTGCCTAGGAACACCAGTCACTCAGACATCCACTAGAGGGGCTTTGTAGCTCAGTGCTGCGCCATGTGCAGTATCTACATTCAGCATCTCCATGCTCTGCATGGAGGTGCTGAAAGCTCCCCATAGATGGACCTACTGTCCCCCCCCCCAGCCCCCACCACTGAGCGGTGGGTGGGGGCCCTAATAACAATAAGGGGGGGACATATTGTCCCCCCCCCCGGCCCCCACCCCTGAGCAGTGGGTGGGGGTCCTAATAACAATAAGGGGGTACCTATTGTCCCCCCCGCCCCCACCCCTGCGCGGCGGGTGGGGGCCATATTGATAATGAGGGGGGGGACCTACTGTCCACTCCCCTGCGGCCCCCACCCCTGGGCGGCGGGTGGGGGCCATAAAGATAATTAGGGGGGGACCTATTGTCTTCCCCCCTCAGCCCCCACCCCTGGGCAGCGGGTGGGGGCCATAAAGACTAATGGGGGGGGGACCTACTGTCCTCCCCCCCCTGGCCCCCACCCCTGGGCAGCGGGTGGGGGCCATAAAAGATAATGAGGAGGGGACCTACTGTCCTCCCCCCCCCCGACCCCCACCCCTGGGCTGCGGGTGGGGGCCCTAAGTAAATTCCCCCCACCACCAAGATGACTAGGGGTCCCCAAGCCCCTAGTCACCCACACCGCCCCAAATAAAAAGTCCCTACCTACCCCCCTCACCCTAAAAAATAGTGAGGGGGGAATAAAATAACTAACCTGTAAAATAAAAGTAAACTTACCATTCAACGTCTTCTTATTTCTCAAATCTTCACCCATGGAGGGCTCCGCGTAGACTGAGCTCTGCAGGGTGGGGGAAGGCTTATAAAGCCTTGCCACGCCCTGCAATTAGGCTAAGAACACTCTGATTGGTGGGTTTAAGCCAATCAGAGTGCTCTTTGTCATTTTACACAGCGTGGGAAAATTCAAAAGAACTTTCCCACGCTGTGTAAAATGACACAGAGCACTGTGATTGGATGGCTTGAAATCCATCCAATCACAGTGCTCTGTGTCATTTTACACAGCGTGGGAAAATTCCAAAGAACTTTCCCACGCTGTGTAAAATGACACAGAGCACTGTGATTGGATGGATTTCAAGCAATCCAATCACAGTGCTCTGTGTCATTTTACACAGCGTGGGAAAGTTCATTTGACTTAAACCCACCAATCAGAGTGTTCTTAGCCTAATTGCAGGGCGTGGCAAGGCTTTATAAGCCTTCCCCCGCCCTGCAGAGCTCAGTCTGCGCGGAGCCCTCCATGGGTGAAGATGGATTTTTTTTTGCGTTCAGGTTTTTTCTTTTTCGTCTGTTTTTTTTTTTGCGCTCGGGATTTTTATTTTATTTTCAATTCGACGGTTATGATGGTTTTTTATTTGGCCTTTTTTGGGGCTGAAAAATGAAGATTTGAGAAAAAAGAAGACGTTAAATGGTAAGTTTACTTTTATTTTACAGGTTAGTTATTTTATTCCCCCCTCACTATTTTTTAGGGTGAGTGGGGTAGGTAGGGACTTTTTATTTGGGGAGGGGGGGTGACTAGGGGCTTGGGGACCCCTAGTCACCTTGGGGGGGGGGGAATTTACTTAGGGCCCCCACCCGCAGCCCAGGGGTGTGGCCCGGGGGGGGGAGGACAGTAGGTCCCCCCCCTCATTATCTTTGTGGCCCCCACCCGCCGCCCAGGGGTGGAGGCCGGGGGGGAGGACAGTAGGTCCCCCCTCTCATTATCTTTATGGCCCCCACCCGCCGCCCAGGGGTGGGGGCTGGGGGGGGCAGTAGGTCCCCCCCCCATTATCAATAGGGCCCCCACCCGCCGTGCAGGGGTGGGGGTCGGGGAGGGCATTAGGTCCCCCCCCCATTATCAATATGGCCCCCACCCGCCGTGCAGGGGTGGGGGTTGGGGGGGACAATAGGTCCCCCCCTTATTGTCATTTTAGGTCCCCCACCCACCGCTCAGGGGTGGGGGCCGGGGGTGGACAATAGGTCCCCCCTTATTGTTCATTTTAGGGCCCCCACCCACCGCTCAGGGGTGGGGGCCGGGGGGGGACAATAGGTCCCCCCCTATTGGTATTTTTAGGGCACCCACCCACCGCTCAGGGGTGGGGGCCGGGGAGAGGACAATAGGTCCCCCCCTATTAGTATTTAGGGCCCCCACCGGGGGGGGACCCTTTTTTTTTAAACAGTGAGCAGCCACAGGCTGCTCACTGTTTAATAGACATGCCCCTACTCGCGGTATTGCGAGTAGGGGCACAATTTACTAATACTAAGTAATTTTTACTTAGTATTAGTAAATTAATAGGGGGCGGACCGAACATCGCATATGTTCGCCATCGGTGGCGAACGCGAACACGCTATGTTCGCCAGGAACTATTCGCCAGCGAACCGTTCGGGACATCACTAATAATAATATTAAAAAATAGTCCCAAAAAACAAACACAAGTCCTGCGCATCCAGTATAGGTGTGCACACCCAGGTGCTACCACAATTTATTTGAGGACAAAGTTAAAACAGCAAACGTTTGAGAAAGGGCTGCTGCTCGAAACGTCTACTGTTTTAACTTTGTCCTCTGAAGTTGAAATCAATCACTAAATTGATTATTTTTGTGTATCTGCCCCGGGCCAAATTAAGAAACAGTGTGTGCACGCTCCCTGAAGTAATTCACACCAGACACAAGTTTCAGGTTGATGAAGAACTTGGGGATTGTTTATTCAGAGGGGACAGCAGGTCCCTTTTAAAGCAAAATTACATCATAAGCATTGTCAGAGATAACATGAAATAATGCTTTATTAATTGGTTAGATGTTAAGTGGTTCCCTTAATGCTCTGCCTACTAAAGGTGATGTCACTGGGACCATGAGGGTCTCCCCCAGATTCCAGTGTCATCTTGTTACACGAGGTAGTTAGTCGGTGTTAGAGGGAGGGAGGGGTTGGAAGCTTCTAGTGGCCATTTTGTCTAATCACATGTTAATAGCTTATGCATTGATTTCAGCTAGATGAGTAAATAGACATTTTACTAACTAAAAATTATGTCAGTATCTCATTTCCACAACAGTCCCCCCTTAAAATGGCTATTTACCAAAGACAACTACTACTGTCCTTAATATGTCCCTAGCTGCCTGCAGCTCATCTGCCTTAACGAGCCTCGAACACTTCACTCCGTGGGTATCCCGCAGCGGCTAGTCCACTACATCTCCACACTTGAGACTCTTGCCCGTAGAGACAGACGCTATCCCTATGCTATCCCTATAAAAATGCAGTTGTCTGTTTGAATTGGTGGGATTGGAGGGGTGTATGTGGTGTGTCACATTCTAGGTCAGTAACGTCTTGGTGTAAGAAAGTAGGAGTCATGTGGTCTATAGTCTGTCCTACTGTCTTCTGTAAGTTTTTTGTATGCAAGGGAGTACACAGCAAGTTAAGAACATGAAGAGAATGATCATTGTAAGGACTGCTGTCCCTACTTGGAGCAGGGTTCTCTGCCAATCATTCATCCATCCAAACCATCTGTCCCATACATTAGTGGCCCCTAAATTCTTCTGTAATTCATCTGAGAGGCTGTCTAATTTCTCTTTTGCCATAGTTACTTTACCATTGAGCTCAGTGTTGTCTGGAATGAAAGTACAACATGTCATGGTTTTGGGGAGGATTTTACATACGCCCCCCTTTTCAGCTAAAATCATATCCAGAGCCATTCTATTTTGAAATGTCATTTGAGTGGTAGCTTGCAGTTGTTCTGCTAGGCCCTGTAGGGCATCTCTAGTATAATTAACAAACCGCTGTTGGTTGTAATAGATATAATTAATCCAATTAACATTCTTATTGACAGTGATCAATGGAATCAGGGACTCTAATCCGACGGCAACCTCATCCCTAGCTTTACATTTGTTGGGCACCCCCCTTGGCACTCCAATGGCATCAATATAAACATGTGGATCAAAACTACCACGGATGGGGACTTCCCTTTTGGCTCTGGGGTGTGTGTGTGTAGGATCAAACACATTTTGGTGACCATCCGGAATAATATGGATGGGCATTATGGCTTTAGTCAGAGTACATTCTCCCCACCATAGCCCTGTTAGTTGGAATCTCAATTGCTTATCTCCACACAGCCAATAAATGTCTCAGACTGTTTTCACATGGTTCATTAATAGTGTCATAGGTGGATCATGGTAGGTGGAGCAATAGCCAGATGGGAATTTACCCATGAACTTACCAGTGTTTTTTGGTATTGTATAACATGTGTAATTACCTGGGTATACTGTAACTCCATCGGGTGGTCTAATGTGTCCCTGGGTGACTGGATATACCTTTTTCCATGATTCACAGGTCGAGGAGTTAGTGGTTGACTGTGCATAGAGACTCAGCACACACAATTCAACATCGGGGGGTAAATTAAGGGGCACTGTACCCAGGTGGGGCCTAGCTCCTCCACATACATAACAGTTGGTCTTGTTGTGAGAGTTAGCATTATACCTCATCCACTCCAACCACAAGTTAGTGTCTGAGAACCCAGTTTGTACTGCCATGGTGTCTTCGAAAGTAGGATTAGCAATGGCAACCATGTCATGTAAAGTCTTAATATGAGGTTTAAGTGGGTTGATAGTCATGTGAGTTGTACCTACCCGGTCCGGTGAGGTGAGCATGTCTTGCAGAAAGAATGTCCCCAACTTGTTATGTGAGCCACCACCCTTCCAGTACATACCCATTACATATTCCCCTGCCGAACTGGGGTGTTCTATGTTTAAGGTGAGTTTGATTGGGGTTGACCCAATAGGTTTACTTAAGGTCATCCTGGAGAGTAGGGGTTTCCCATTTTTGTCAACTCTATCTAGGGCACATTGGGGTTTGTATCCCCATGGTCTACCAGTATTCCACCCAGCCGCCTTCCAAGAACTACAATGATGTCCCCAGTGCCCTCCTGTCACACAAATGTATGGATCTTTCTTGTCAGGTATGTCCTTATATATAGCAGCGTGTTGTGTTTGTGGAAAAGTACAAGCAACAATATCACAGTAATCAAAGGTAAATGTAGCTACGTCTGTGTTTGAAGAATTGTACCAAAAGGTGTAAACATGGTTATCTTTGGTTATAGCTACTTGTTGGGCCTTTGTAAAGTTTAGCAGCAAAAGAAAACATGGGAAGCACAGAAAACTCGTGATTCGGCAGGGATAGCTTCCTCTGGAGCAGGCACTTTCTTGCAATGTGAGGCATGTATCCAGGAACTTTTTCCGGCCAACTTTACTGAGGTAGCCGTGATTAGCAGCACTTGGTAGGGACCAGCAAATCTTGGCTCAAGAGTATGTTTCCTGAGGAATTTCTTGACCATAACCCAGTCACCTGGAAGCAACTTGTGGGTACCTGTATTCGACTCAGGATCTGGAATAGAAGAAAACACTTAGGCATGGATTTTGGTCAAGGCATGAGAGAGAGCAGGTTGAGGGATATAACAACCTAACCTTGGTGCTGTACCGAACAAAATCTCTTAAGGAGATAAACTGTATTTTCCCCTAGGAGTGTATCGTATACTGAACAGTGCTAATGGGAGACTCTCGGGCCAGGGCATATTAGTTTCTTGGGACATTTTGAGCATTCTGGCTTTCAATGTGCCATTCATGCGTTCTACCTTACCACTACTCTGTGGGTGATATGGTGTGTGGAAGGCAAGGGTCACCCCCAGTGCTGTCCAGACTTCCTGTGTCAATGAGGCGGTAAAGGAAGTTCCTTGATCACTCTCAATCACTTCTGGAAATCCCTACCGGCAGACAATTTCTGTCAGATGTTTAACCGTGGTCCTTGCAGTGAGATTGGCCACTGGGAAGGCTTCTGGCCATCCTGAGAACATGTCCACTATGACTAATGCATATTTATAGTGCCCACTCTTTGGCATCTGGATATGGTCAATCTGTATCCTCTGGAAGGGATATTGTGGTTTGGCCAGGTGGTTGGGTGCAGCTTTAACAATCTTCCCGGGGTTGCATTTAGCACAAATTGTACAGGACCTACAATAGTTCTGTGTCAGAGTAGTAATGCCTGGTGCTTCAAAGTATTTATCAATTAGGGCATTCATCAGATGTTTTGACAGATGGGCTGGCCCATGGGCCCATTGGACAACAGCTGGATACATATTCTTGGGTAAAACAAGAGGGGGTTGGCTGCACTCACCTGAACATGCATAAATGGGGGTGCTGCTGGGGGCCAAATAATACAATACACAAGATCCAGCGCACTCACCTATCCACTAAACAGCAACTTCAATGTTGAAAGATTGTAAGCAGAACCTAAGATTGATGGTATAGACATCATCTCGGAGAATTGCCACTCTGTTCTTCCAACTTTGTTTCTCTTGAGGGGTTGCAGCAGCTTGTTATTCCTTTAAAAGTCTGAGATCTGTAGGTAAGGTTTGCATGGTATAGATGGGAGTTGTCTCGGTGGCCACTCTTCTGTCCACTTTCCACCCTTGTCGTGCTGCTTCCTTGGCAGCTTCATCAGCTAAATGGTTGCCTCGTGCTTCCTCTGAATTCAACCTCCTGTGGGCTTTTACCTTTAGTACTGCCACCTCTGCTGGCAGTATCAAGGCATCCATCAGTTCTTCAATGGCTGCCCCATGCTTCACTGGGGTACCGGCGGCTGTAAGGAACCCCCTGGTTTTCCAAATTAGGCCAAAATCATGTGCCACCCCCAGGGCATATCTTGAATCTGTATAAATGTTGACATGTAAACCTTCAGACAGTTTGCAGGCCACTGTAAGGGCTGTCAGCTTGGCTTCTTGGGCTGATTTCGTTGGTGGAAGTACAGTTGCTTGTAGTATCTGGCATTCTGTAGTAACTGCATATCCAGTGTGATATTGCCCTTGTTCATCAGCAAATCTGGAACCATCCACAAAAAATATCCGATCTGGATTAGGTAGGGCAGTTTCATGTACAGTTGGTAGGTGGGTGGTTTCCATCTTCATTTGTTCAAAGCAATCATGGGGGCCTTCTGAATCTTGTTCTATAGGTGGGAGGTCTTCACATATCTCTGTATGGTATCGTGGATAGCCAACTGTACTGCAGTTGATAATCTTCTTGGTTACTCCCATTACTTCAAGTTGTTTTTGAGTTGTTGTACTCCAGGACTTGGCCATTGGGCCTAGATCTTTCCATGAGAGATCAGGAGACTTGGTGAAGGATATATGTGGGACAGCCGTCTCCCAGTGGCGGTAGAGATGATATACTTCTGTTGGGAGGTGCACCAGCAGGACCATGTTGCCTCTGGAGTCCCATAGTAAGTCGGTCAATGTGATGTGAATTTCCACAAGGTGGAACAGTTCTTCTTCATAATCCGCATCAGGGCCTGGGGTGTCTTTAAACCACAGGGTACAATGTAACAGGTTCTCTGGTTGCACATCATGAAAAGCTGCATGAGTGGGTAGTTGGAATTCCATCCGAGCATCTGGGTTGATATCCAAACTGTACCAGTAATGTGCCACTCCCCCCTTGGGAAGTGGCAGAAGAGTGGCTGGGTTCAGAGAGTAGCAGCGTTGAAAGGTGACATTGTCAGGCAGTAACAACTAAAGTTTGCAGGCGTAAGTGTCATTGTGAAGAGAGGTGCTTTGGTTGGACTTGTTGCAAGATTGCTGAAATATCATGTGGAGCCAGGACGGTCAGAGAATGACCAAGGACAAAGTCATTGGTCTTGTCCAACAAGGCACTAGCAGCAAACACTGCCTGTAGGCAGGAAGGACTGCCTCTGGCAACGGGGTCAAGCATGCAGGAAAAATAGCCAATGGGTCTTTGTCTGGATCCATGTGCTTGAGTAAGGACCCCAGAGGCATGGCCCAACTTCTCAGAGACAACCAACTTGAAGGGCAACTGGTAATTAGGTAGGCCCAAGGCAGGGGCAGAGGCGATTGTTTTTTTCAGGGCAGTGAAGCAGGCAAGGGCATGAGGTGAAAGTGAAAAAGGTTTGCTTTTTAGAGCATCATATAGTGGTTGCATCAGTTGAGAGGTTTCGGGAATCCAAGATCTGCAATACGTGATGAGGCCTAAGAAGGCATGGAGAGACTGATGAGCTGAAGGTGTTGGTAGATTCAAGATGGCTAGGATCCTGTTCTTGGTAAGGTGGCGGTGCCATGGGAAAGGCAATGTCCCAAGAAGACCACAGAGGCCCGGCACCACTAGAGTTTTGACTTAGAGACCTTGCAGCCTTCTTCGGCTAGGAAGCATAGCAGGTCCTCAGAAACACGTTCAGCAGTGTGAAGATCAGCAGCGCAGAAGAGTAAGTCATCAACATACTGAAGCAAGACAACGTCTGTGTGAGTCCTTTGCCAGGGTTCAAGGACCATTGACATGGCCCGTGCAAACTGAGTGGGGGAATTTTGAGCACCCTGAGGCATGACAGTCCATGTATATTGCTGGCCTCCATGAGTAAAGGCCTGTAGACCAGAGCTTTGCAGGGATTTTGTCCAGAGCACTGGGGGCATGGGGGACCCTCGATTCCCCTATGGGAGAGGTGAGATGTAGCAATATAGGAAGGGAACAAAGGACTGAAGTGTCTTTGCGTGACAAAGGTGTATTTAATAGAACCTGGCCATCTGCAGTGAAGGTGATGGATGCTTGGAGGCGGGACAGGACATCAGCACCCAAGAGGTTAATGGGACATGTGGAGGAGACAACAAACCGGGAAAGGATATCAGAACCCACATGGAGGAGTTTAGTGAGTGGATTACTGCGGGGGGTACCATCAATACCAACACAAGAGACATCAGTGTCTGACAGGAAGGATGGGTCAGGCAGGTCTTGTTCTCTAAGAACACTGCAGGCTGCACCTGTGTCAACTAGGAAAGTAGTGGGGTGGCCCTCAACGGGTAAAACTACTGTGGCTAGTGGCCCTCCCCCATCCCCTGTAGACACTGCCATGGCAGGGGTGTCAGACACAGGCTTGCCGGTTACCTATTGTAACAGATCTAAATGGGCTTGATCAGGGCCAGTGTAGCGGCGTGCGGAGGTGGATGGAAGACCAGTCGGGGGAGCAGACCGAGGATTGTGGGTTAACCGAGCCCCAGGGCGATCCTCCTCTGTCCCATCAGCAGGAGCTGGTGGGAAAGCACGGGTGTCAGGGGTGGTGGTGGCGGAGCCTGAGAATATGCTGGTGGTGGGAAAAATGCTACTAGTGGAAGAGGCGGAGGAGGTGGGAAATACCCTGGGGGGAAATAGCCATTGGTACTGGGTGAGGAATTAGAGTAACGAGGAGGCAGTGGTCTATATGCTCTGGGAAGTGGACAATCCCTGCGAAAGTGGCCAGTCTGGAGGCAATTATATCAGGTCCTGACAGCTGAGGGCCTATCTCTGGTAGGAGTCAAAGGAACTTGTGGTACACTATAGCCGGGGGTAGCCTGGAAAGGCCCAATGACAGCAGCGGGGGCACTAAACATCAGTGCGTTTGCTCTCCTCTGTAGGTGTTGGGTCACTGACTCTAATCCCTTAGCTACCAACAAGAGAGTGTCCAAAGGAATGATCCGGTACTCAGGTCGGGAGAGGATTAACCCCTTACGGATAGGCTCCTTTAACCCAGCTACAAAGGCAGCTGACAACATCTGAGTATGTGCTTTATTGTAAGTACTAAACCCTAGATCAGAGAAAGTCTAAGTTAGACGTGAATGGTATTTCTCAACAGACTCAAGTTTGTCCTGAACAATATCATTGATACACGTAGCTTGGTCTGCCAATTTATCTTGTGCCCATGCACGAAGTTGTTCGCAGAAAGTAATGCCAGACTGGAAGTCTGTATCAGTGGTGAGTGGAGCATCAGTGAAACTCCTTGCCATAATAGGCCAGTAAGCATCACCTGCTTTGATCTCACATAGACTGTAGAGATCCCGCCAGGCAGCGGAGTATGTTTTACGTATCTGGGCCATTCTACGGTAGAAGGGCATGGGCTGTTTCTCAGGATCAGGGAGTGAGGTAACGAGGGTGGCGGCTTGTGAAGGGTTGAACGTAACATATATGGGACCGGATGTACTCCGGTAGCGGTATGTCTCTGTGAGGACCTATTACCCAGTGGGCGAAGTGGGCCATGCTCACTCCTGATAGGAGGCAGCGCCCAGAGAGACTGGGCCTGGAGCGGCCGGGGTGGCAGGTGTTTGGGTCGGTGGAGCGGGTGCAGCGTTATGGGGGCTGCCCAGGTGTGACGAGGTGGGATGGTAACCCGATGCCGCTGGGGAAACACCCATGGCATAGGGCTGGGCCGATGTGGCTGGTTTATCAGAGCCAACTACCATGAGCGGGTAACTGGGGCTTGGTTCAGAAGCACACGGGACAGAGACAGGACCTGGCTGGGTAGTACGTGACAGGATGAGAGAGGATGAACCAGAAGGAATAGGGGGAGGGACCGTGGGATGGGACAGAGCTGAGAGGGCAGACAGGTCGATAGAGGTTGGAGGAGGAGGAGGATCTAGGGATGTGAAAGAAGGAGCTGTGCGGGTTAGAGCTGAGAGGGCGGAGAAGAGGGGAGACAACTCGGCAGGAAGAGATGAGGGGAAAGGAGGAGGAGGATCGGAGGCGGTGGGAGTGTCGGGAGGCATGAGAGGTGGGACAGAAGGACGGGAAGGCTCAAGAGCGGCAGCAAGAACTGAGAGAAGAGAGGATACTAGGCTTGCAGGGGAACCGGAAGTGTTGGTATTGGGGCAGACAGAAGGATTGGACAGCACGGTAGTAGTGACGGGGTCAGAGGGCGTAGCAGACGTGACGGGCGTTGGAGTCAACGGGGGAGGATCGGAACTGGTGATGGGAGGGACTGAAGGGGGAACAATGGGAACAGGTGGGAATCGTGGCTCCGTCAGCTCCGAGCACGGGACATTGTCCTAAGCCACCGGAGGGTGGCGTCTGGGCGTTAACAAGGGACGCTGGGTGGGAGCTGCTCAACACGATCTGGGCGCCATCATAGGGCGGTGGTTGGGGGTTTGTAGAGGGAACATCATCATTACAAACATTTTGGTGGTTCATATAAATCGTTTGCCCCTCAAAATCTAGTTCCTCTTCTGTCCAACCCTCCCGCTTAAGACCTCTAGCAACCCGATACCACGCCTGTCTAACAACAACCCTTCTTTGTTCACAAGTAACTTCCTCCAAAACTCAGGTTGTAACCTACCGCTAGGTGACATTTGAAAGCCACAGATCTTAGCAATTTTTTTAATCTTTAGCATTGCTTCCTCCCCTGCCCTTTCTTTCACAATATCACAAGCCAAATACCCCTTAGCTGGTCTAGCATGTTCTTGCCCCATTTGTTGTTTTTTTTTAACCAAACAAGGGATGCCACGTGATGGAGACAGGGAAAGTGGGAAGATAAAGATGGAAGGTCTACAGTGCTCGACTGCCACGAGGGTTGGGGCCTCGTGCGTCTTCCCTAAACGTAGACCAGTCACGGTGGTCCGTGCACCCGAGATGGTGGCCACGGACCGGAGCGGGCGAGCGTGGGTGACTTACACAGCTCTGGGCAGCAAACACAGGACAGATAGAGGACAAAGGAAAAGATGAAGGTGGCAACACTAAGCAAAAGGCATTTACAAAAATCACACATGTATAAATGAGTGTACGCTCCACACAACACACACACACACACTGAGGGAACCCACACTGTAACAACAATTGAACAAAATCCACAAAATGACAGAGAGCAATATGGCCATGTACATATTAAAACAAAACAATGAAAATCAAATATCAACAATCCCAGCCTCCCTCTCCAGGCTGCAATCCAGTACAGTAAAGTCCCACCTACTACAGGTGTTCCACAATATTTCACCGGCCGTTAAATGATACCCCAACCCAGTTACCTGGGTGGTTCCCAGACCTTCTCCGGCTGTCTGCAATACCCCAACCCTATCACTCGGGTGGTCCCCAGCCCCTTACCGGCTGTCTACAGTATCCCTACCCTATCACACGGGTAGTACCCAGCACTGCTAACAAAACCCCAACCCTCTTACTCGGGTGGTCCCCAGCCCCTCACCAGCTGCTTATATTCCCTGACTGCTAGGCAGTCCAGCTAAAATCTACATGAAGACACATACACCGGCCGTCGCACACATTCATACAAATTCACAGGAGGTAGATAGACAATCGACAGGTTCATTTTAAAGAGGCACTGGATAAGATATTACCTGTCTTGTAACCTTCTGGAAGCCGGAAGTGGACGCGGAGGCAGACCAACACAAAACAGGAGTATACAGGCAACGGCTCTATTTTGGAGGTGATCAGGCTCCGGGTTTCCCACTTTCCGGAGGTCCACTCCGGTCCATTGGTTTCCGGCCCTCCGAACCGGCAAATCCAGTGCCCCACATTGGGCGCCAATTGAAGTGGAAATCAATCAATAAATTGATTATTTTTGTGTATATGCCCCTGGCCAAATTAAGAATCAATGCGTGCACGCTCCCTAAAGTAATTCACACCAGACACAAGTTTCATGATGAAGAACTTGGGGATTGTTTATTCAGAGCGGACGGCAGGTCCCTTTTAAAGCAAAATTACATCATAAGCATTGTCAGAGATAACATGAAATAATGCTTTATTAATTGGTTAGGTGTTAAGTGGTTCCCTTAATGCTCTGCCTACTAAAGGTGATGTCACTGGGACCATGAGGGTCTCCCCCAGATTCCAGTGCCATCTTGTTACACGAGGTAGTTAGTCAGTGTTAGAGAGAGGGAGGGGTTGGAAGCTTCTAGTGGCCATTTTGTCTAATCACATGTTAATAGCTTATGCACTGATTTCGGTTAGATGAGTAAATAGACATTTTACTAACTAAAAATTATGTCAGTATCGGATTTCCACAACATCCTCAAATAAATCGTGGTAGCACCTGGGTGTGCACACCTATTCTGGATGCGCAGGACTCGTGTTTGTTTTTTGGTTGTATATACACTGTTGGGACTTCAGTGTGGAGTATCTGCAGCACAGGTCTAACTTGTTCTTTGTTTATATTTTGAATTTTGTAGGCATTTTTTGCCTCTACCTCACATTATATATATTAAAAAATAGTTAAAGTAAAATTATAAAAATTATTATTATAACATTAAAAAAAAGACACCGTAGTAGTCAGGAATGCATGAAAAAAGCAGAAAACTTTATTAGAAAGAGATACATATAGAAACAACGTGTATAGTAATTAAAAAAAAACGTACTATCAGGTCAAGACCAGATAGACAGTAACCTGACAGCAATGACTAATGAATAGAACCCAAAACAACATGTCGTAGATAAATCTTGATTTTGTTTTGTAATACTGTATCATATTTTTTGACGATTGTTGTTGTCGATTTTGTAGAACATTTTATGTGTGGAAAATATAGCGTTTTCTAGGTTCTGACTTCTTAGCCATTTTTCAGTTTAGTAGTTTGCCTTATGAACTTTTTCTTTGCTTGAGACAACTTTTCCATCGACGGTGTCCTCTATTATGGTGCGAATTTGGCGTGTGGTTTGAGAAGCTAAAATAGAAAATAAATCTGTTAGACATATGGTACACGAACAAATCAATGTAACAGTAACACATTATCAACAGTAAATGTATTGTAAATATATAGCACTCAATATTCATGAAATAAAAATCTAATTTTAATGATATTGTAGAGATAATATATAGTGTATACGTCATTTGAAATATAAATACATAATACCTATTGAGAAAAAATGTCTTGTAATAAATAATAGACATATTTTAACTTGTGCATTTACACATAATATGAAATGGAATTTTCAGCAATTTTTAATAAAATTACAAAAAAAAAAATAGGAGGAGGCTTACCGTCTTTGTAACATATGCTATTGGAAAAATAAAAAGAGAATTGTAAATTACATTTGATATTTGAAACTTGATCAAGGTATCTATAATAAACTTAACATATCCTTATCTGACTATTTCTCTATTTAGATCGCTATATATATCGGTCTCACTATATTGATTTCTGTATCTGCTTTAAAGTAAGATATTTATTTTACACCTATATGATTTGACTTATATTAAATTATAAAATGTTTAATTTGAGATGTATTTCAACAAAATGAAGGTGGAGAGACAAAATGGAAATTTTTCTTGGATGTTGTAGGACCTTAATCTGTCTCTGTATGATTTATAGACAATTTATTATAGTATAGGTTGATAAACTAATTTAAATAAGTACATATATGGACATTCTTAACATTCTGAATGGAACACATCACTGGTGTTTTTAAAGTTCAAAAAATTATTTACTAAACTTAATTTTGATATATTTGTTGATGGCAAATTTCCACAACCTGCAAAACCAAACAACTATATATATATATATATATATATATATATATATATATATATATATATATATTTTTTTTTTTTAATTCTATTGTAGTCAATACTTTCTCGTTATTGTGCCTATATTTTCACTTACTCTTCTCCCTCTAGGAGACGTCTGTAGGTTGCAATTTCTTGTTCTAACCGGGTCTTCACATCCATGAGGATTTTATATTCATAACTCTGGCGTTCCATATCTGATCTGAGCTCTGAAAGCTGAGCCTCAACATCACTGATGAGGCATTGTAACTGTGAAAGTTGTGTGCAGTACCGACCTTCTGTCTCTGCTAATGTGCCTTCTAGAGCAGCTTTCTATATTGGGAAAAAAAGAGAATATTAGGAATTAAATAGTGCATCCAATAAATTCCAGTCACAGTTACAATTATTTATATAGCGCCAACAAATTACGCACCACTGTACACTAGAAAACACATTAAATTCTAACAAAACATGTATGACGTACGGGAACAGTAGGTAAAGAGGGCCCTGCCCAAACTAAGCTCACAATTAAAATGGGGTGGTGTGTCCTATTTTTGTGACAGTCTAAAGAGATCGGGTCATATTACTCCAATGTCATTACTGGGTGACCCTATTTATCAAGGACCTTTTAAACTTTGTTTTCTAATGGCGACATTTGTAAACTTATATATGCAAGATATGATTTCGTCTTGAAGAGACGGTTCACATGGGACATTGAAACTTGTGTAACCAAATTTCCAGAAATATTCAATATATGGCGCATAGTATTTCGGTGTCATCATGGCAGTGTAATTGAGTCAGATCCTATATCTTACCAGGCTTAGTTGTGTCTGCAGCTCAATCTCTAAGCCTTGGAATGTGCGTTTTAGGTCTGTGATTTCCGTGTTGCTGGACTGGATCTGTTGACTATGGCTGGCAACTTCTTTGCTTAGTTCTTCTGTCTGTAGAAGGAAAATGAGCATTAAGCACCTTGTTTAAAATTATTCTTAGAAATGTTATGAAAAAGATTAATTCAAACTAACTCACTCTCTGTAAGTACCAGGCTTCAACTTCTCTGCGGTTCTTGTCAGCCATGACTTCATACTGATCCCTCATTTCAGACAGAATCTTAGTAAGGTCCACAGAAGGGGAAGCATCCATTTCTACATTCACTTGACCACCAACTTGTCCACGGAACGCCTTCATTTCCTGTGTAAAAATAAACAATTGTTTATGAGTGCATCTTCGTCAAAGATCATTGTCTATGTCATTGTAAATTCTATAACCTAGTGATAGAACTTCAAGTGTTTTCGCCAGTCTGAATATTCACAAATTTTACACTACCTCCTCATGGTTCTTCTTCAGGTAAGCCAGCTCCTCCTTCAGGTTCTCAATCTGGATCTCAAGGTCAGACCTAGTTAGTGTCAGCTCATCCAGAACTCTGCGCAACCCGTTGATGTCACTCTCAACACTCGTGCGAAGGGCCAGCTCATTCTCATACCTTGTTAGAAAAAGGGTCAAAAGAGCACTCTTAAAATCTTGGACCATCAATTCACATAAATATGTATGTAACTGAACTTCTTGTGGTCCCTGAAATGTCTTAAATATTAGCAGCCAGTAATACTAAGTATTTTTTTACTTTATTTTAACTGCTGCTCCATATTTGGCCACAGGTGATACTAAAATACTGTCATGTATTTCTCGATCACAATCTTTGTTTGTGCTCAATCTATTGGGCTTTGCATGCAGGCTATTTGAGGAGGGCCATTGAATGCTGGGATAAAATGAGCTTAATGACCCTGGCTATAATATGGAAAATTCACAGCTTTCATCCACCAAATCATAAAAGTGTAAGATTAAGATTTACTTTATGTGTCTTTATATGTTGGTCAGATAAAAAACATTGATTAAAGGGGAAGTCTGAAAGAATTTAGGTCATATCGTTGGCCACTATGCAACAATTTAAGAGCCAAATTCACGCAAAACTTACTTAGTTCTGAAATCGTCAGCTGCCAACCTGGCATTGTCAATCTGCAGAATGGTGCTTGCTTTGTCCAAGTTAGCATTCTGGATCTAAGAGATGGAGAAAGAGTGAAAGAAAGTTACTAAATAAGTCAAACATTTTGTAGTATTTTTTTACATTTGTCATTCCCCATAGATTGTCCCCCATTGGTAACGGAAAATACACGTTACAACAAAAAATTGCTAAGTAAATTACTAATTCATGAGATTATACTACACAGTAGCTTTCAATTTTCTTAACAAACTTCTAAAAGTGATTAAAAACAAGTATTTATTGTAATAAAAGTGCTAATAATGTTTAATCAAGTAGGGATGGGAGAAAACTCATGGTTCCAAATTGGGCAATTGTTCTCATGTGCGTATTCTTTTCCTTCTTCTTGACTTTAAAAAGGAAAAGAATTACAGGCATGTTTGTTCTTGATGCTAACACGTGCTAATGTTCGTGTTCACTAACTTTCTCATAGAAGGCTAAGGAAGGACCAGCATTGCGTAAGAGTTCTCCTGAATTTCTGGAGTATTTCACTGGCCCTGGAAGTGGAAGAGCTCCTAGGATGTTCCCACAAAGACCTTGAATTAGTTCATCGGACTACACAGACGAATATCCATGTTCAGAATAGGGTGTCAACCTACTTTTAATGGAATTTTGCATGACTGCCCAACAACCTGTTTTTCTAAATGATAGAAGTTATTCATTAATACAGGGGACAAAAGCATGTAATGAATAGTAGTATTCTATTTTGCTTTTTGTTTGGGGCGACAGTGATTGTTTTAAAGTGTTATGCTGGGAGCAGGTTTGCAGTTACCATTAGTGATTATGTTGCTAAAGGAGGCTTAGATCCAGCTTCACATGTAATTGAGTCCATGTCATGTTAGTGAATATATATTTAAGGTTGATCAATTAAGGCTATTATTATCTATTATCTCCATATCAATATAGTAACATATAACGACTTGGTTTAAAAATAATTAAAATATATATTATATTGTGAAATGTAACTGATTTGCAAAAATGTAACTGTTTAAAACACCATACCATTGAGTAGAGGTCTATGAAAAGAACAGATAAAAGATGTTATATATAACCTATATTATCATGCTATACAATCTTCGGATAAAATATGGAGTAGTACATGGAATCATCTATTCAAATATGTTGTATCAACATATGGATTAATGGTGAACTAGACAGAAATATTAAAAAGTAACGATACACTGATGTGTTCACTGGAAGTAGAGAAATGTTTGCTACCTTGTTGCGGAGGTCTTCAATTATCTTGTAGTAGTTACTGTAGTCATTGGATATACAGGGTCTCTGCTTCTCGTACCATTCACGAATCTGAATCTCCAGCAGAGAATTAGCTTTCTCCAGCGATCGCACCTTGTCCAGGTATGAGGCCAGACGGTCATTCAGATTCTGCATGGTTTCCTTCTCACCTCCTGACAGAAGGCCATCTCCACCAGCTCCCCCTCCAAAGCCATATCCAGAACCATGCGCTCCACCAAAGCTAGACACATAGCTGCCACCTATGCCACCACCAAAGCCACCACTAAAGCCACCACAAAGGCCACTACCAATCCCAGATGAGACAACTCTTGAGGTGGAGATAGAAACATTTTTACCACCACTACCCCCATGGATGCTAGGGGTCCGATAGCCACCTACAGATAGCCTACTGGAACCACCACCATAGTCACAGAAACCCAAGCCACCTTTGGTTCCTGAAGAAGTGGAAGTTTGTCTGATACTATAGGAGGACATGGTGTGCTGTAATTACAGAGCCTTAATCTGAATGTCACCGGAAAGGATGTTAGGTGTGAATATGAGGAATCCAAACCACTCTGCCTAGATTTTATACTTTGGGAAGTGGGTGTAAGTTTGCATGAAAGACAGGTCCCTTCGTAGAGTCATCAGCTTTGGTTTGCATGCCAACTTTTTTGAAAGCATCAGGGTTTATAATCACGTCATTGGTTTGGGAAGATAACCCAAAAGTGCTTTTTCTCATCCGAGAGGTGGTGTTGTGTGTCTGTGCTGAGTTGGTTTCTAATACAAAAGGTCTGATTCACATTGACTCAGGGAGGTTCCTGTCCCCTGGCTATGCATTTGACATTCCCATACACTTAACAAGGTAAAAAAAAAATAGGTTTTTAGAGACACCCCTCCCTGGAAAATATATCCAGACATTGTGTTGTCTCTGAGAACAATCCCTATTAAAATTGTGTATTCATAATTTCCTATTTAACCCTTTACTGGGGATTTGAATTAAACTGCGTGCCTGTAAATATATCTCAGACAAAAAGGAGCAATGTAATGTAACAGCCGTACATAAAATATTAATGCAGCAGATGTGAAATAAATTCCAAACTTTGGCAAAAAACAGGTGTTTATACAAACAGATTGTGTCAATAGATAGTCATTTATAGAAGGCATTGCATTAACTGGGTGGTAATATTCACATAACCTGATACAGGTTATACATTGTATACATATATTCACACTGGGGTTAGACTATGGGCAAAGTTAAAACATGTTGGACTTGCGTTGGTCAGAAGATGTAAGCAATTGTCCTGGAGTAAGGAAGCAGAAATATTTACTTGAGATGCTGGCGCTGTAATCCGGATTGGGGATAGAACGCCTCTAACCAATGGCTTTTAGTTTACCTACCTGTGTTTTAAAATAATTATGTATTTTCGTTTGTATGTTTGTTTATAGGTGTGCATGAGTCTAATAACACGACCAACCTTCATAGTTCTAGGCATATTCTACAATAAATGTGTTAGTATCCACATTGATGGGTAGAGAGCCAATTTTTCCTGTTGTCATTAGTTGAGTGTGGTTCATTATTGAACATTTTGTCATCTGACAAGACACTTATAACATGCCTGTAGCATGTGTCCACCAAATTCTTTTAAACATTTCCATTGTTTTATCTCTGCTGGATAGCTGTCTCCTTACAAATGCCAAGAGTTACTCTTAAAATTGAATGTCTTATAGATGGAGGTGATGGATTGGATGGGTGGGTGAGTGGATGGATGGATTAATGGGTGGATTAAAAATATCTAGAAGAGAGTTACAGAACACAAGCCAATCACGATTTCTTACTGCATCAGCTAATCTGTAAAATGTTGCTTACACATACGAAATTAAGAAATTGTACTGTTTAACATTGTTTAAACCTCGCCCAACTGATAATAGCAGAAACTTTATTAGACACTGAAATATTTTTCTCCAGTTACTCACATATTTGAGAATTACGCAAACAGCATCCTCCTGAAAAAAAATTAGAACCTGAATTGTGCTTACTGATGCATATTTTGATTATAGCCTAAATACACTGCCTAGAACCATAGACTTGTTCATATTATTGGGTTCTGATTCATAGAAACATAGAAACATAGAATGTGACGGCAGATAAGAACCATTCAATTAGCAATTTATTATACCCTAGCTTGCTTTTTAAAGGGTATAATATTATAAATGAGTCTTTCTGTTATTTAATAGGTCAATGTGAATTAGACATGTGCATTCGTTTTCGTACGAATACGATTTCGTCGATAAACAAAAGCCCTACAAACTAAAGATAAATAAAACAAAAGGGCAAATATTGAATGCATTACCTTTTTGTTTTGTTTGTTTAATAGGCTCTGTAGGGGAATTAAACACAGCACGGAGAAATAACACTGCGCATGTGCAAAAAAAGGCAAGGAGGGAGCAGCGCTACTAAATAATTATTCCTTCCCCCCCCACATTAAAACCTATGGGGGGTCACTATGACTCTGATATTATTAAAAGGGAGGTTAAACCCTAAACAAATTTAAAAGTACTAGCTATTGCTGCTCAATCGCTACTGCAGCAAGGGGAACCTGTGCCAGGTCCCCCCTTGCTACTGCCCCCTGTGTCCCCACTCGTGACCCACTGGTGGGGGCTTTTAAAATAAACGGAGGGACCTATTGTCCCCCCTGGTCCCCACCCATGAGCGGTGGGTGGGGACCCTAAATAAATAAATAATGGGGGGACCTAATATCCCCCCCAGGGCCCCACCTATGAGCAGCAGGTGGGGACACTAATAATTAAAGGGGGGACATTAAAACCTATGGGGGGTCACTATGACTCTGATATTATTAAAAGGGAGGTTAAACCCTAAACAAATTTAAAAGTACTAGCTATTGCTGCTCAATCGCTACTGCAGCAAGGGGAACCTGTGCCAGGTCCCCCCTTGCTACTGCCCCCCGTGTCCCCACTCGTGACCCACTGGTGGGGGCTTTTAAAATAAACAGAGGGACCTATTGTCCCCCCTGGTCCCCACCCATGAGCGGTGGGTGGGGACCCTAAATAAATAAATAATGGGGGGACCTAATATCCCCCCTGGTCCCCACCCATGAGCGATGGGTGGGGACCCTAATTAAATAAATAATAGGGGGGACCTATTGTCCACCCCGGGTCCCCACCCATGAGCGGTGGGTGGGGACCCTAAATAAATAAATAATGGGGGGGACTTAATGTCCCCACCCATGAGTGGTGGGTGGGGATCCTAATAAATTAAGGGGGGGACCCACCCATGAGTGGCAGGTGGGGACACTAATAATTAAAGGGGGCACCTAATGCCCCCCTTGGTCCCCACCCATGAGCAGCGGGTTGACACCCTAATTAAATAAAAGGGGAAACTAATGTTGAGTAGAAGCATGCGGGATGATTTAACCTCCCTTTTATTAATATGGGGGTCATAGGGACCCCCATAGGTTTTAATGCAGTAGGAGGTAGGAATATTTATTTATTACAAGAAGGGAGCTGGTAGCTCTGCCGACTTCCTCCTTGCTTTTTTTGCGCATGCACAGTGCTGTTTTCATCAAAATGGACAAAAACAAATTATTTTTTAACGAATTTCGTTCAAAAACTAATCGTTTGCGGACGAAATTCAGGATGGACGAATGAAATTTTTATTTAGTACGAAATCATTCGTACGAAACGAACATTTCACTAGTGCACATGTCTAATGTGGATGTCCCAAGGCTTTCAAATACAACTCTATGGTTTCAACCAATTTTTGATGGCTAAATCAAGTTTTTATGGCATATTGAGTCATTTTAATAGTTACATTTGGCAACATTATCTGAGGATGCTTTTTATGTGTAGCGGTCAGCCAGAGTATCACCGCCACGGAGACCCATTTCCCAATCAAAAGGGCACAAAAAATCCCAAATGTCCCATAACCCCCCACGCATGAGCCAAGGCTTAATACTGGGAGAAGTTTTATTTGGAGCCACACACAGGTTTTTATGTAAAAGCCCCAACACAGGGTTTCTAATGCAAAAAAACAGGGAAATCCCTCCCATGATCCTCTGTGCCTGAGAGATAATTATTCAAATATACATTGCTAATTATATTATATTTCAGGGACAGAAAAATCATACATTTCTTAACCACCCCAAACGCACCCCCAAAATACATGGAAACCCCACAAAAGTCACATCCCAACAATATATCCAGAAATCACCCAGATTCTTATAGTAGTTTTGAATCGCCATTGCTTGGAAGTTCTGACCGGTCTGCCACAAGGTTGAAGCTAAAAATAGTTCTAGGGAGGTGGTGGCAAGAACCGGTCTCTGTTCTTGGGATTTTGTATGAAAACCACATAAGGTAGATGAAAGCTGATTTGTGTAGAATGCTCCCCATGTCTTTAAATCCCGAACGCTGTTTATATAAGTGTACGGGAACTGGAACAGGCAGTAGGTCTATGGTGAACATTGTTCACGGGAGTGCCTGGCCGAAATGAGTTCCAGGCACTCGACGACCAAGTCCCGTTGCCAGCGTTCGGGAGACAAAATGGTTGCCATCCATTGTCCCAACCACGTGCGTTTGCATGCACAAAATGGCAACCACCCAGTTGAGCATTCTATTAATTATTTCCTTTGCAGTTTTCGTACAAGATACTCAACATTCCCAGTTCTAATGGGTCTCTGTGGTGGTCTTGGTTCGGGAACCGAACAAAATAAACAAAGCAAAATTAAATACGAGTCCGTTGTACGAAAGGAGCTGAAAGGTATGGGGTATTCCTTCACATTATGCAAAGACGTAATTTATTAGTTTGAATATCTGTGAGGAAAGAAATGCAATAATCAAAGTTGAGAAGTCCTGTAGGGGAGCACAGATAAAATATATCCTATATTTATGTCATATTTTTTACATCAATACATCATCAATGCATATACCAGTACCGGAACAAATGAAGCATACAGTCTATACCTTCTACTTCAATAGTGAAATCTATTTAGAGTAATATACAGTGGAACTAATACAGTAGAGTATTCAGGAGAGCATGAGGATGACAGAGTTGGATCCCTAACTGTAGAGATAGGAAATAGATAATAAGGTGTATTTTTGGACTGTAGGGTAGATGAGCCAGAAAAGCAGACACCTTGTGGAAAATAGAACTCATAAACAGGATACACTAGTCAGAATGAAAGAGAATTTAAAAAATCATAAAGGCTGAACTTCATGGATACTTGTCTCTTTTTACAAAACAGAAGAATAATAGTGTGTCGGGTACTTCCATATTCTAAACGTTAAATGGAAAACAAAGGTTAACAAATTTAAACCTCTTTAGTTTAGAAAAACATCACCTGAGAGGGGATACATTATACAAATATATTTGGGGCCATACAAACCACTGTGTGGAAATCTATTCACAAACCGGACTTTACATAGGACACAAAGTAATGCGTTTAGACTAGAAGAAAGAAGATTTCGTCTAAGGCAAAGAAAAGGTTTTTTTACTGTAAGAACAATAAGGATGTGGAATTCTCTGCCTCAAGAAGTGGTTTTATCAGAGTCCATACAAATGTTCAAATACCAACTAGATGTATACTTGCAAAAACAGAATATTCAAGAATTTAATTTGTCAATGTAGGGTAATAGCTGATTGATCCAAGGATAAATCTGACTGCCATTCTGGGGTCAAGAAGGAATTTTTTTCCTAGTTTGTTGCAAAATTGGAAGTACTTCAAACTAGGGTTTTTTTGCTTTCTTTTGGATCAACAGCAAAAAAACAAATGTGAGGAAGGCTGAACTTGATGGACACAAGTCTCTTTTCAGCTATGTAACTATGTAACTATGTAACTATGTAATAAGATATACCAGTGTCAAACAAACACCCAAGTGTCAGAAAATTATGTAATAAAAAATGTATACAAACGCATGTAAAATTCTTGATTCTACAAAAAAGCACAAAAAATAACATAGCATATACTGTATATAATCACACAAAATAACACTGGGTAGTGGTTAGAATCTGACTCACATGGTCCTCCAGTCGTGCTAGGCTATGTCTTAGAGGTTCATGGGTACCAAATATGGGTACTGAATCAAATTGTAGAGGTCAGGTGCAAGATAGTAGGGAGTGCCACAAAAATAGATATTGTAACATGGCTTTTTTCTGGCATCTCGACCATGCAGCTCATTTTTGTTCGATTTTGTTTTTTAATATCAGATGGGTATTGTGACAAACTCCCCTTTTTCTGTGAGTTTGCGACAAGTTTTTGGAGGGGCCTGTTTGCTTGCCTACTACCCGGTGACTATGGGCCCTGCAATATGCCTTGCCCAAAACACTTTAAAAGGCTCCATTCATGTAATGTACTATTGTACTCCACAAAGAGAGACCGACCGCTGGCCCTAATTCCCTGGAACTGTTTATGGCATGAAGCCATGCTTGCAGCCGGTCTAAAAGAGACTTCCATGAAACTTTTGAACCCCTGCTCTGATCTGAGTATAATCACTAAGCTCTTGTAAGAGCTGTTCCTGCTTGACTCTCTGGAGCGAGAGAGGTTCACCCACTGTAACCTGGAGCCTTGCTGTAAGACCAGGGTGGGTAGGAGTCGGCGAGACCCCAACCAAGCTGTGGTGGTTTGTGGGGTTTAAAGTGGTTATGGTGCTCCAGCACAGTGCTTATTGTACTCGTCAGTACTAGGAAGCAGCGAATGATGTAGGTACACGGTCGGGGTGCAGTCGGTCCATCACAGGTATCATCTTACATTTTTCTTGGACTATGCCAAGCACCAGGCTCTGATTTATTTCTGCTACCTCTATCATTATTTTTATTTTTATTAATTATTTATTTACCTTTCTTTAATAATATTACACCTATAAATCTAACAATAAATCTAAAAACACCTACACCAGCAACTTAAGGAGGGAGAAGACTTATAACTGTATCTTTCTTATAGCTTTCCTATCTCATCTCTTCTTCTCCCTTCCTTCTCTATCTGTAACTAATTTGTTGATGACAACATAAACATTCATACCACACTTATATTCAATCTAACCATTTGTGGATAATCAATCTTAATAATATTTACAGAATTGATTCCTCTATTTTTTGAATCCTTTACTAGTCTCAAAGATGTTTATATGATTTCACTCCATATTTTTTCTTTCTTTTTGTGCCATTGCGACCATTTTTTTTAAACGAATTTCCAAATGTGTTTCATTGTTTTGCCAGTAACCTTTCTCCATTAGCTCTTGATATTCCATTTGTTCAAATAACTCTGCAAAGTTTATTTTTGTACTACTTTTCCACTTCCTTACCAGTTGTGATTTAAAAGATAGTAAAAAGTGAACAGCTGTCTCTTAAAATTTTATTTAGCATCTTTATGTCAATATGAAACAAAGCTAATGGTAAATTTGATCTGATTTCCATTTCTGCTAATTTTGAAAGGATGAGAAGTTATGTGTTCCATGCCTGTTTAATATCCTTACATTCCCACCATTGATGAATAAAGGAACCTACCTCAGTAAAACATCTCCAGCATGTTTCACTATATTGACTATTGAATTTCTTTTTTACAAAAATTTGAGTCAAAAACCATCAGAATAGGAGCTTAAAATATATTTCTAAAAGATTTACTTCATGAGATAACATGTTTCGTGAAATTACCAGATTTTACTAATTTCATGACGTAAAGTCATGATTTTATAAAGGACACGGAGGCGAGTATTGTGCTTTCTCTTTCTTTATTGTACCTCAGCAGCAAAGAAAAAGAAATGCATAAATATAAACGAATTCAAACTAAGTACTCAAGGGTTAACATAGTCTGGTACTCCAACCAATAGGAACAGTCCATTCATCAATATCCACCCATGTGACCTTTCCTCTCCCTCTTTCTTTGATCCTGCCGAAGTCGAAGTATAAAAAACTGTGCGAAATGCTTGAACTCTTAATCGGCATGTCGCTGTCACTTCCATAACGAAACATCGAACAGAAACTCAAACGAAACTGAAAAACTTATCCTCCATGTCAGTGGCGTAGGGACGTCAAGCTGAAAAAAGGGAGAAGGAGAAATATGGTAACGTGTGGTCTCATAACTGTATGTTATATATACTAGCCCTTGTTTAGTTACATCTAATATCTACAAATTTACATACTAACCTAAACCGTCATGCCATCACTTGTCTGCAAACATGTAAAACAAACGTGTCCAGCAACATAAGAAAAACCATAACATGTCCACTTGCTGGGAGGGAGTCTGGAAGATCATACTACTAATACCAACCTCATGATACTTACCATGCCATCGTCGTGATCTTCCTGGGAGGGCCAATACTCGCCTCCGTTTCCTTTATAAAATCATGACTTTACGTCATGAAATTAGTAAAATCTGGTAATTTTATTAAAGGACACGGAGGCTCATATTGTGCTAGTTTAAAGCTGAGCAACGACTGATGACGTGATATGTTCTGGAGGTCGAAAATAATATTCCTTAAAGGTGGACTCCCGTGACCAGTCCGCAGTACGTAGAAGGTCTTCCAGTCTACAACCTAGCGTAAAAGCCTTGGTTGCCATTGCCCCCCTCGTAGAGTGTGCTTTGTATATTGAGGTATCAATATTGGCGGAAGCCATTATCCATTTAACCCATCTGGCTATCGTAACTGTCGATACTGGGAGATGTGGCGTTTTGGTAGCAATGAACAATTCATGTCTAGTAGGGTCTCGTAATGTCCGTGTTCTCTCCTCATATTCTTTCAGGCAAAGTACCGGGCATAAGTTCTTATTATGTGGAAAAGTAGGATAGGACACTGTTGTCATTGTCGTTTTTGTACGTCTGGAAATATGAAATGTCACCCCTGACGGAGTGAATGAACGTGCGTCCACATCCAATGCTCGCACCTCGGAGACCCTTTTGCACGATATCGAGCAGAAAAGCATTGCCAATTTTGCTGATAACTGTTTCAGTGAGAGATCTGGATTCCGTGGCCACTGGTCGAGGAGATTCAAGACCAAATTTACATCCCACGTTGATGTATATCTAGGTCGTGGTGGTCTTGCGAAACGAACACCTCTGAGAAGTCTGCAAACCATCATGTGTTTCCCTACCGGTGCACCGTCCAAACCCTGGTGTCCTGCTGAGATCGCCGACCGGTAGCCGTTGATAGTGCGGTAAGCCAAACCTCGATCGAGGCTGTCAGGAATCGCAGGATGCTGGTCAGAGGGGCACAAACGGGATCCATTGATTGTTCCAGGCACCAACTATTCCAGATGTCCCATGCGCGACTGTAGGATCTGCGAGTACCCGGTGCCCAGGCCCCCGCCAATAGCTCCAACGTTGTTCGTGGAACCTCTGATATGTTTGGGAGTCCCCGGAAAGTAGCCATGCTAGCAGTCTGAGATGTTCGTGTAACGCCAAGGGGTGTGAGTTCCCCTCCGGATCCGTCAAGAGATGAGGGTCCGCTGGTAGCAGTCTGGGGAAGTCGATAGACATCTCCATGAGGGACGGGAACCAAGGCTGCGTCGTCCAAAAAGGTGTGACTAACACCAATGTCGTCCGTGAGCGGCTGAGATGAACCAGTGTTCGCGCCAGTAAGGCGAACGGTGGGAACGCGTACAGCCTCTTCTGTGGCCATTGTTGGAGGAACGAATCCGTCGCCACTGCATCCGGGTCTGGTCTCCAACTGAAGAATTCTGGTAGTTGTGTATTCAAGCGAGACGCGAACAGATCCACATGCAGCGGGCCCCACAACGTCTGCAGGCGCAGGAATATATCCCGCTTCAGGTGCCAATCGCCGTTGTCCCTTAGGTGTCTGGAATTCCAATCCGCTATTGTGTTTGAGAGGCCTGGGATGTATTCGGCCCGTACCGAGATATTGCGGTCCAGACAAAACTGCCAAAACTCCATGGCCAGATCCGCCAATAGTTTGGATCTTGTGCCGCCCAGGCGATTGATGTACTGCACTGCTGAGACATTGTCCATCCGGAGGACGATCGAGCAGTGGGTCCTGGTGCCCAACAGGCTTTTCAGTGCGAATGATCCCGCCATAAGTTCCAGGCCGTTGATATGCATCATCTTTTCCGAATGGGACCATTTTCCGCCTGTGGAAGTACGCCCACAGCGCGCTCTCCAGCCCAGTGTGCTGGCATCGGATTCTATCACGCACTCCGGGAGGTCGCCAAAAATCGCTCTCCCGTTCCAAGCCTCCATGTGTTGTAACCACCAATGGAGTTCTGCTCTGGCTGTGTGATCGAGTGGAACGGAGTCTGAATAAGAGAGACCTGATTGAAGATGAGTAGCTTTTAGTCTCTGTAGCGCCCGGTAGTGGAGAGGCCCTGGAAATATCGCTTGGATAGAGGCGGAGAGGAGTCCGATTATCCTGGCTAGCTGACGTACCGTGAGCGTCGGTTGTCGTAGGGATCTGTGAATCTCCTTTTTGATGACCTTGATCTTCCCTTGCGGCAAGTTCAAGGTTCCTTGTACAGCGTTGATGGTGAAGCCCAGGAATTCCATGGATTGTGAGGGAACCAAAACTGACTTTTCCCAATTGATGAGAAACCCGAGGTTGCGTAACAGGTGAATCGTCCATGACAGATGTTGTCGGAGCACATGCACCTCTTGGGCCATAATCAAGATATCGTCCAGATAGACGATCATGCGCACTCCTCTGCTGCGAAGTAGGGCCACCGCCGGTTTCAGGAGCTTCGTGAAGCACCATGGGGCGGATGACAGGCCGAAAGGGAGGCACCTGAACCTCCACATGTGGCCGTCCCATGGGAACTGGAGGAGGTGGTGGCATTCCTCCGCTATTGGGACGGTAAGATAGGCATCCTGGAGGTCCAGTTTGACCATCCAATCCGACAGCCTGAGCAGGTCTCGCAGGCAATGGATGCCCTCCATTTTGAAGTGTTGGTATCTTACAAATACGTTGAGGGGGCGTAGGTTGATCACCGGTCTCACCCCTCCACCTTTTTTGGGAACAAGGAAAAGATTGCTCAGGAAACCTGAGGAAAAGGGCGCGACCCGGTAAATCGCGCCTTTTTCCCGTAATGATCTGATTTCCATCGACACAAGGTTTTTGTCTGTCGAGGAAAAAACCATGGGCCGAGGGGCCGTCATTTGTATCGGGGGTTGCACAAAGTCTATCTGGTACCCCGTTACCGCGTGGAGAACCCAAACATCTGATGTGAGGGTTTGCCACGCCTTGAGAAAAAGAGCTAGTCTGCCCCCTACGGCGGAAGAATAAACCCGGGAAGGAAAAATGGGACTTACCATAAGGTCGTCAGCCATATGTAGAGCCTCTACGTCCCCTGGGTTGCCACGGCCTGCCCCGGACAGGGAAGAATGGTGTAGGGTTCCTGACCTCTGGCGTCTGGAATCTGGGTGCAGGGGAGCCTCGGTAGCCCCGATAGGAGCTCCGTGAGGACCGGCTGGACAGACGGCTGCGGTGTCTGCCAGCCCCCCCGAAAACCTTTGGGGCGAACACCCGCTTTAAGTTTGATTGTGCCTTGTCCAGGGCGGTGAACGTGTTAACATAAGTGCCCAACTCCTTAACAAAATTATCCCCAAATAGGAGACCCTTCGCCTGAGGCCCGGGTTCCGCAATGGCCATATTGACCAACTTCGGGTCGATTTTCATAAGGACTGCCTTTCGTCTCTCAGTGCAGAGAGCGGCATTGGAGTTTCCAATGAGACAAATGGAGCGTTGTGCCCACTCCCGGATAGCCAGGACGTCTACTGGTGTGCCATTGGAGATTGTCTCTTCGACCATGTCGAATATTTTAGCACTAGGGCCCAATGAGTCAAGGACCTTATCCTGACAATGGCGTAAGGAATAATCAAGGCCCTTTTTGGCTTTCCAGCCCGATCGTCCCAGAAACTGAGCGATCTTAGGGTCCAATTCGGGCGTGACGCACGCCAGATCAGGGACCGTTGGGCGCGGGCATTCGGCTCTCAATTTATTTCTAGTGGCCTTATCAAGGGGCTTTCTAATCCTGGCCGCGATATATTGGGCCACATGATCCGCCGGGAACCACTCGGTCGACCTAGGGTGTTGCAGGTCGTCCGGGTTGAAAAGGGGTTCCCCTTGTGGGTCCAGAATAATGGAGTCGTCCGTCTTGCTGCGACCCTTAGTGGGCGGCTCGTCAGAGCGGTCTCGTTCTGGGGAAGAGTCCGCAGAATTTTGCGAGTCCATACCTTCGGACTCACTCCATACCTCCTCTTGATCCGAATCAGAGTCGGAAATATCATTATTGGCTTTCGCCCATTTCCAAGACCGCACCGTTTTTGCCCGGTGGGAGGCTCTCTTACGTGGGGGCCCCACGTCCTCATTATTGACAGGGCGCAACCTGTCCGTCACAACAGTTTTGGAGGTGTAGGTGCCCAAGTGGTGGGTCTTTGCCGTAGCCTTGCGACCACTAAGGGGGGCAGGCTCAGCATTTGGGGCCTTGGAGACGTGATCACTGGAGCCCTGGCCGGACGCCATGATGGCATGGCTAATGGACTGGGTTAAGTTATCAGATATCGTCCCCATTGCTGTAAATATGGCTTGCGTGACCGATTTTGTCATGGTCGCGTCAAGCAGGGAGTGGAACTCCTCTGAATTTAGTTGTTCAGCCGATCCCACCTCTTCCCTCTGAGGGGGTGTGGGTCGTGAGGTCATGGGCCCAGTGGGGTTGGAGCCCAAGTTGCCGGTAGGCAAGGTGACCCTCTCTTGGCCTGTGGGGTGCTGCATGGCAGTCAAAATCACACAAGTGTAAGAAGCTCTTATGTGGCCCCTTTAACAATTTTAAAATGAGGTAGTGTCACTTTAAGGGGTGTCCCTGAAACAAACGGACTGTGTGACTTTAATGGGGCTGTGAACTGAACAGGACTCACTGATATATACTAGATAGGTAAGTATGAAGGGCAAGGCACAACCAAGCTGTCAGCTTACCTAGTGTTCCCTCCGGAATGGAGGCAGAGGGGGGAACACTAGGGAGCTGACAGTTGTGGCTGACAGCCCTCTCGAACGCTCCCGCCCTCCAGGGGGCAGGGAGCGCCAGTGAAAGAGCGGGAAGAAAACCCGCCGAAACTGTGAAGATGGCCACCGCCGCGGATACACACAGCGCGTGTGTGCGCTGACCCGGCCGGCACTGCTCGCGCCTAGATGCCGGTGCGGAGAACGGCCGGGGGCTCGGCTGACACCGCTGGGAGCCGGCGCGGAGGGGGCAGCCGGAAAGCCGCACGGGTTATAAACAACCCGGTGAGGTGGGAGGGAGGGAGGAGGGGGGGGGGGAAGTGTGTCCCGAACGGAGAGAGAGAGGGCAGAGAGCCCAGAGGCAGAAAGGCTGAACCCCTCACAAATCCCCACGGTCACACTCCCCAACACACACACTGCAGTAATAATAAAAGGGAAGATTATAGACAAAGTAAATTAAAGAGATACAAATACAAATACAAATTCAAATTACAAATGCAAATAAAAAATGACAAAAGTAGAGAGCTAAAATGATAGGTTGATACTTAGCTGAGGCAGCAGCAAAGAAAGAGGGAGAGGAAAGGTCAGATGGGTGGATATTGATGAATGGACTGTTCCTATTGGTTGGAGTACCAGACTATGTTAACCCTTGAGTACTCAGTTTGAATTCGTTTATATTTATGCATTTCTTTTTCTTTGCTGCTGAGGTACAATAAAGAAAGAGAAAGCACAATATGAGCCTCCGTGTCCTTTAATAAAATTTATAGCTGTTTTCCATTTCTATTCATCTATTTCAAGTGCACATTCTTCTTGCCATCTCTTTATTTGCATCAATTCAGAAAATGGTTCTTGTTGATTGATTAAATTATGCATGGTCTTCCCCATCTAATATTCTATTTTCCCTAGAAATATTGCTTCTATATTTTTGTTCTTAATTTTTTTAGACCTCAGTATCTTCTTTTCCAAATAACTTTTCAAACTAATTATAAAATTCATTTGGTGGAAGTTTGAAGTTTTGGGAAAGTTGACAAAAGGGGACAACTTTTTGTTAATGTATTACCTGATATCGATGTGTTATCCCTTTATCTACCCAAGATTTTAAACTTATATCACTTGGAAGAATTCCCATCATATATAATGGGATATAGGATTTCAGCTCAAACATTGCCAAATATTTTGATTTGATTTTTCTCCAAACAAAACTTAAATCTTTCAAAATTATCTATTACAGACTTCTTTTGACCATAGAACGATTCTCACATCCTATTTATTTAACGCATTATTTTCTAATTCTAACCATTGTAAGGCTTGATTTGTATTGCACCATTTCACAATATGAGATAGCATAATTGAGTCATATTTTTTTTTATATTTGGAATGCCTAAACCTAAACCTTCTTTCATAGTTCTAGATAATACTTTGAATGCAACTCTCGGTTTCTTAACATTCCAGACAAATTTATTAAATATCTTTTGGAATTCAGATATTACTATTTTATGAACCACTAATGGAATAGATCTGAAATAGATCTGAAAAGCAACATAAGTTTAGGTAGTATATAATGATGTTTCTATTCTGCCTATCTGTGAAATGGTAATTTTTTTCCATTCATTTAATTTGTTTTTCATTTTATTTAATAAGGATTTATAAATAAATTCAATTACTTCCTTTTTTTGAAAAAGCAATTTGTATCCCTAGATAGTCCATTGTTTTCTCTTTCCATTGAAATTTATGTTTCCTGAAGATCTTTTTTATTATCATCCTTTATATTTCCCATTAGCGCTTGGACCTTATCAATATTTAATTGATAGAATGATATTTCAGAAAAGTCCTTTATCTTCTTCATAAGCTCCCTTACCAATTATATTGGATCTTCTAAAGTTAAAAAATGTCATCAGCAAACATTGATAATTTAAATTCACTCTCTCCCACTCTGAATCCTTTTATCCTTTGGTTGTCCCTAATTTTTGAGCAAATGGTTCCAATGAGAGTACAGATAACATTGGAGACAAAGGGCACCCTTGTCTGTTACCATTATATATTTTGAACCAAGGAGATATTATTCCTAAGCCTAAAATAGGGACTTTTGGATCTTTATATAAAACCCATATTGATTTTAAAAATACTTCCCCCAAATTAACTTTCTTCTCGAAATACCCAACTGACCCAACCTTAATCCCTATGTATATTTAGACAAATGGAGGTCATTTAGTTGCTCCAATGGCCATTGGAGGGAATGCCCGCCTGCCTCCCTATTGAGGGTTAATAAGTATATAAGGGTGTATATAAAAAAATACCCCTCTCTGTCTCATTAGAGATATCTTTGCCAGAAGCTCAAGGAAGCAGGCTGAAGGGTCAGTGTTAGGACCCGCTTGGGGGTTCTGCCTTGACGTTGGCAGGTGGGCATTCCCTCCAATGGCCATTGGAGCAACTAAATGACCTCCATTTGTCTAAATATACATAGGGATTAAGGAGAGAGCGCAGGTAACTTTTTCTTTTCTTTAGTCTTTATTTCCTGTCCACTTCTCATGGACATAGGATGTTTCATCTCCTCTTTTTTATTTTGTGGCTTACTCGGGTCTAATTGTACCCCTTGCCCATGGGAGTTCAGCCACTCTCCCCATGGAAGCCTCAGGACATGGCACCTCACCAAGAGCGACCCCCTGGAGGATTCTCCCCTCAGCGACGGGGGAGCTATGCTGCAGTGACCCTATTGCCAGACGTGCCAGACCCATTGTGGTGGTAATTCCAACAAAGGGTACACCTACTTGCTCCATATACTTGGGCTTCTTGGCTTTCCCATGAAGATATCCTGTACTACCCCTGTGGATATAAGTGGCAGTGACTCTACAGAGCTTACCTGACCGGTGGACTTTTCTTTGCCTTTTTCTTATCCCTATTAGATTCCTTTCCCCTCTATTTTACTCGTTCCGGTTGTGGAACGCACGCCAATTGCATGCGCTCAATTTTAGGCACTTCCAGGTCCGGCACTTTCGTTGCTTCACTTCTGGGTTTTCAGCCTACCACTTTCCTCACTCTGGTCGTGAAATGCACGAGGAACGCACACCGGAGTGAGACCAGTAACAAGGAGATTTTGCTTCCTTGTTCTGGTATCTTCAATTTAAAGGGGTAAGTGCCTTTTGGTTTTCAGTCTGTAGACTCCTGTATCCCTGCATATCTGAATTGAAAATATTATATTCTGGCTGCAGGAAAGTGATATATTCCTTTCTTTTTGATTTGAAAATAATTAAATAACTTTAGTATTGGTGTTAATTTTTTTTAAATACTTTAGGTAATTTAGGTAAATTAGGTAATTTCTTTTGATTGCTAGAATCTTTATTTTTATTTTCTAACTGACCTCATACTATGGATTCCCCTGGTCATGCTTCAAAAAATAGGTCGCAATCTCGAGGTTCAGAATAAGTCACTTTTATTTTTAGTATTTACTATACAAATTTAAAAGAGTGCATTTCAGCTTTCTAATTGCAGGATTTTAGTTCTGCCCACAGATACTCATACAGGAAAAAGAAGGATAAAACCCCCTTGTGTGAAGCTTGTGATGACAAGGTGCTGCCTGGGAAAAGACTTTGTTTCGCTTGTCTTAAAGCAGCGGCAGGCCATGCAGAACCGGATCCAGATATTCTCTCTTACATCCGTCAAGCAGTTTCAGAGGGTCTTCGGCAGTCTGAGATGGCAAAGAAAAGACGTAGATCTTTTAGCCCCGAAAGAACATGCTGATTTAAGCTCTGATGAATATATACCCCCAGTATTTGAGGAAGCCTGGTTTTCATCTCAAGATGAGGAGTCTGGCGCCTCTCCCGTCTTTATAGACAATGTGAAAATTGAAGCTTTAATCAAAGCAGTTCGTGATACCTTGGACCTTAGTGATAAGAGAGAGGAAGAACCAGCTTCTCGTAAGCATTTTGCATACCTAAGAAAGCGCAATCCTACTTTTCCATTGCATGTGACCATTGAAGACCTCATTAAGCAAGAATGGAAGAAGGCTGAGAAAAGAGTTTCTATTCAGGGTTGTTTTTCTAAACTTTACCCTTTTAAATCTGATGAAAGTAGTTGTTGGGATCTTGCCCCCAAAGTGAATGCAGCAATTGTCCGATTAGCCAAAAAGACCACCCTTCCATTGGATGATGCTGGTACTTTACATGATCCAATGGATAAACGTATGGATTCAAATTTATCCAAAGTGTGAAAAACACACTATTTAAATAACCAGTATGCAGTAGTGAGAGTGTGTAGCGCTAGATAGTATTCACTTACTCCCCAGAATTCTTTAGGGGTATAGGAGATATTCGGGTAGCTATGGAAGAAATAGAGAAATATATAGTGTACTCTGTAATAAAAGACATAGTTGTACGCCATATAATAGGAAGCACTCACGTGGTTCAGAGCCTATTGGGGATTGGCTCTAATCACTCTCGCTTTGTGTCCTTAAGGTGACACACACCTTTGAATCCAAATGAGATGTAATCCTCAAAAATAAAAAGAGAGAGAACAGGGAAAACTCGCCCTGGTGTTGAAATCCTTATGATGACAATACACAAACATGCATAGAAAAATGAAGATTGCTTCTCACCTGGGTGAGAGCCTGTAACCTGGCTCTGAGTAAATGGGCATAAGAGTCCTTTTGGGATGACTCCTTCCCTCTTTCGAGAACCATCTCCAGAAGCATGGTCCTGACAGTGGCATTAAGACGTGCTCTTTGCCTACGTAATTGGGTGGCAGATACCTCTTCAAAAAATAGCCTGTGTGCCCTCCCTTTTCAAAGGGATAAGCTCTTTGGCAAATATCTGGACGAATGTATTAAAAGGGCAGTGGAAGGACGTAAGGCCTTTCTTCCTCAAGATAGACGTCCTAAAATATCCTTTCTACAGGACAGACGTTTCTTTCGGGATAAGGAATTTAGATAATACAGGCCTGGTAGAGAATTTTCCAGATTCTAATCTTGGAAAGGTGGATTCTCCTCTTCCAAAATCTCCCGAGGACGAGGTGGCAGCACCTGACCACCAAATCAATTCTGATGGGACGCAAGTCCAGCCCTTGAAAGTGGGAGCAAGACTTCTTCACTTCTATGAGGTCTGGGCTCAAACAATACAGGACAAGTGGGTGCTAAAGACCCTAAAGTCTGGCTACTTCTTGAAATTCTCCACTATCCCTTATCCCCGGTTCATGTCTACGAGCATTCCTCTGGAACCAGAGAAAGCAGCAGCCATTCGTTCTTTTATTTCTTCCCTTTCAGCAGAAGGAGTCATATGTCCTGTTCCTGCAAAAGAAAGAGGATTGGGAGTCTATTCCAGACTATTCCTCACTCCAAAGGCATCAGGGAAATGGAGACCAATTTTAGATCTTCACAAGCTAAATGTAGATCTGTATGTGAGAAAATTCATGATGCAATCTTTAAGTTCAATTATGAAAGTCATCTCCACAGGTGACTGGTTAATCTCCATAGACTTTTGAGATGCTTATTTTCACGTTCCTATTGCTCCACCACACCAGACGTTCCTGAGGTTTGCAATTCACCACCAGCATTTTCAATTTCGGGCTCTTCCCTTTGGCCTGAGCACAGCTCCCAGAACTTTCTCAAAGATCCTTGTTTCCTTAATAGCCCACATGCGTTTGGAAGGTATTTCAATATTCCATTATCTTGACGACATCTTGATCCTCTCACATAACAGAGATCTTCTCCTTCTTCATCAAGATTGAGTTCTCATTCATCTTCAAAAATTTGGATGGATAATAAACCTCTAAAAGAGTCAGCTTTTTCCCTCTCAAATTATGGTATACTAAGGGGCGAGGTTCGACACGATTCAGTCGCACATCTCCCTGTCCTTGGAGAGAGGGCTTCGTATTCAGTCAAAGATTCTTCATCTTCTGTCCCTCAACTCCATTCCAGCCAGGGAATTCATGAGCCTTCTGGGAAGCTTGTCCTCTACAATAGGCCTTACAAGATGAGCCTGGCACTCTTTCCTGCATGTCTCCCTTTTTGATTCTTCAGGAAGACCTAGTTATTCTTCGTACGGTTCCAACATTCAGGCCCAAAGTGGTATCCGCATTTCATATGAATCAGGCCATCATCTTGACAGCCTTTTTCCCTCATCCTTCATCTGAAGAAGAAGAGAAATGGCATTGTTTGGATCTGGTGCGTTGTTTGTCTGCATACCTGAACCGTACTTCTGATATGAGGAAAACCTCTAATCTGTTCATCATTCCTTCAGGATACAATAGGGGTCAGGCTGCTTCTTCTACTTCTATTGGCCGATGGATAATCTCAGCCGTTAGTCAGGCTTACTCAGTTTCCGGGGTTCCAGTAACACCAGGTCTTCAAGCTCATTCCACCAGATCATTGGCCTCCTCATGGGCAGCTGCAGCCAACATTTCTCCGGATCACATTTGTTCAGCAGCAACATGGTCCTCCTTCAACACATTTATTCATCAATATCAGCTGGACGTAATTCGATCATCTACCACGGAATTCAGTAGAAGTGTCCTCTTCGTTACCTTATAGTTGATACGTCAATAAAGAGTTTTAATTGCATTGACTAAGCATTTTTGGTTATTTTTATTTGTCCTCCCTTGTACCTTTCGGCTTGGGTACACCCCATGCATAGTGCTGCCATGGATATATCCAGGGAAAACAGAAAATGTACACCATAATCACCAATATTTTTTTTCCCGGATATATGCCATGGCAGCACTACGATCCCACCCTTTTCTAAATTTTGTGCTGTTTCGTGGCTTTAAACTAAGACTGAAGGGGCATGGGAGGAAGTCTCTTTTATTAATTATTTAGGAGGTGTTCCTGTCCAATTGAGAAGGGGAGGAGCTATACCCCTACGTAGTGCTGCCATTGCATATATACGTGAAAAGAAAATATCGGTAAGTATGGTGTACATTTTCTGTTTTAATCTGTTTGCCCATATTGATGAGTATATCTTTGTATTTACGATTATAAGAGAGGTTGGTCTAAAATTTGTAATTAATGTTTTATCTTTACCAGGCTTTAAGATGGGAGATATGTTTGCTAATAAAATCTCTCTCGGCATTTCCCCTAAATAGATGATTTTACAGATCCTTTTCAAAACCTTTATAAAAAATATTAAAAAATCCATCCAGACCCGGTGCTTTATTTGTCTTACATGAATCATATTTGAAATTTCTTGCAAAGTGTATTGGAGTATTTAAGATTTCATAATCACCATCAGATATATGAGAATAATTCAATTTCTCCAAATATTTTTTTATTTTTTTCTCGAGCTTCTAATAGATCACAATCTTTACCTAAATTATATTAAAAAAAATTTAAATCCGAAAAGGAAGTGCCTATTTTTACTGGGTCCAGTATCATCTTCCCATTTTTTCTTTTGCATTTTTAGCTTGTTGGACATCATTCTATTAGCCCTATTTCTTTGGCTATGCTATTTTTGTTTAAAATGCAGGAGGTTTAAATTCATTCTTTCTACATGTTTAAGTTTTTTATAAATTTCTTCATAAATTTTATTAGATGGATTTTCTTTGTTTTTTTCTATTTGAGATAATGGGATATATAATTGTTGGATAGGTATTTTTTTTTTTTCTCATGTGAACCAAATTTAATTATGTGCCCTCTAATTACTGTCTTGAATGCACACCAAGTAATTCCCTTCGAGATTTGACACAATTTATTTTCATGGAAATCATTTTTTATTTCTTTTTGCATGTTTTCCATGCTATACTTTTGTTTAAGAAGGGATTCATTAAGTCTCCATTCTTGTCTAACTTTATTTTTATTCGGTTTTAATTCAAGAAATAATGACCAAGTGGGAATTGAAATTTCACATTTTAAGTTTTCATAAAAGATATAAGTTGTAGATAAGAATAAATCTATACATGAGTAGGAATTAAATTGTATAGAATAAAATGTAAAGTCTTTTTTTTCTGGGTTTATAGTTCTCCATATATCGATTAAATCATAATTTTTTAACCAAATTTTTTATTTTTAGCAAGCTCTTATTTATGATTCTTCCTTCTTGTAGTTTTATGTCCAAATTTGTGTCACCTATCAAATTAAAATCACCCTCCGTTTTTAATTTATCTACCTTTTCCATTAAAAGGTTTAAAAAGGAAATTGCATTAGCATTAGGGGCATAAACATTAACTATTGTGAAAAGTGCATTATCTATTTTATAATTCAGTATAATGTATCTTCCCTCTTTATCAATCTCTTTGTGTATTATCTTTGTGTATTATCTTTATGTATTTTTTTCTCACTTTTTTCCTTCTTCTATTTTTATATTTTTCCTTCCCCTTTTCCTTTCCTCTTTCTTTTTTTCTTTTCTTTCCCATTTCCTTTCCATTCTCTTCTTTTTTATATTTATTACTTGTAATTAGTTGTATTTAGTTTGCAGGTCACCCTTGCCTTTTTTTTCTTTCCTCCCCTTTTTCTTCTCCCTTTCTTCCTACCCATCTCTTCCCCTCTCCCATTTCCTCTCTCTCTCCTCTCCCTCTCTCCCACCTCTACAGATTATTCTCCTTATTCACCAAAATTCTTTCACTGGGAGTATCCCACAACCACATGTCCTTTGAGTAAATTTAGAGGTATTCTAGTAACAAGCTTTACTGAGTGTATATATCAATAGCTTTTCCTTTCAACCACATACATTTCCGTTTTTTACCCCCACCGACAGGACAGACGAATCAATTTCCCTCATGCTTCTTTTTCACCACGTTCTCCTTAGAGGATCACCATTATTCCATCATTACTCCACCTCCTCCCACCGTGCCATGTCTCAAATGTCCAAGTCATCACCATCCTGCCCTAGCTCATTTTTGTTCAGACATCATTGTATTGTGCTCCTTGAAACAACCACACCATCTTTTTCCCGCGCAGCCTGTAATACTTTTTTGTAGGACCCCTGGTGGTGACATAGAGGGACTACACTGATGATTTTATATTTTGATGTAAGTTATTAAATACTTTTTTGTACTTCACTCTGAATGTGCATCTTATATTCTTTTATATACATTTCTTTCTTGAGCACGTATATGCCAATATATCTATGGAGATTTTAACCCAGACAGAGGATTTGGAATTCCTATTTTGAAAAGGAAAATATTCAAGGCTTGCAAACTTCAGCAAAAGTGTGAGTGGCCATTTGTGAATATAACTTCTACAATTTGTCGTCATACACAGTTATACGCTATGTTGTTTTATTTATGATTGGTTCAGCAGATCATCCCCCTTTTTTTGCTTGTGTTGTGTGGAAGACAAGAGGAAGTCTTCTGGGATACTATTGGAAATCTTATCCTATACAGGAAAGTTCCTTTCTGTTGATATAAATTAAGCACTTATTACACTGTGGTGGGTGTTCACACACATTGTTTCTTTCTGTACTTTGGTATTAAGAGAATCCTGAATTTTCCACTTCTTAATAAGTGATTGAACAATACGGGCATTTTCAAGGCTTTGGATTTCTTTTGATATCTTTTTCCATCTTTATAAATTGAGCTAGCATATCTTCAGGCGGGTGCACGGACGCTTACTTCTTGTAGCATGGTCAAGCATACAGTAGGTAGAGTGACTAAGAAAAAATGTCCAACGTAATAGATAAGTCTTCACTGCTGCAACACTTACTATAAAGACTATCCGCAAGGACACTTAAGTTGAACTTTTATTTTATTTTTTTATCTATTACGTTGGACATTTTTTCTTAGTCACTCTATTTTTACTCTCTTATTGGCGCAGCCTTTTATTATTGTTTTTACTGTCTTGTTTTAAAAGGGCTTGGAGGGTTTCCCTTTTTAAGGTTGCTGCCTGTTTATTAATTAGCGCTGTCTCTCCTTTCCATATACTCCATACAGTAGGTAGAGGATCTTCTGTATCCTCTTCCCAGCCTGACAGGAAGTGCTCTTAGTGAGAGCACTTCCTGTCAGACCGACAAAAGTAAACAGAAGATCCTCAGGGGAGGCATGATAGACACATAGAAGGGCTGGAGGGTAATGATACACACTGGTGGATATGAGACACATGGAGGGGCGAGGGAGAATGAGACATATGGGGGGGCTAGAGGGGAGGACTGAATCACATGGAGGGGCTAAGAAAGGGGAACAAGAGACAATCAGAGGAGCTGGGGAAGGGGAGAATGAGACACACAGAGGGACTGATTTAATGCATCTTTATGAGGAGATGTTGATTGGCACAGTGCAGTATTATGCCACGCATGTGCAATAGCCTCCTAATGCTTTCCTAGGGGAAACCATTGGATTGGAGATCATCAAGACACTTCAAAGTGTTGAAATGTTGGCATCATAGTTAATGGCTTGATAAACTTTGCAAATTGAATTATGGTGTGCTGAAGATCAGGTGGCATTTTCTTTTGACTATAGAAATATATCTTCTTTAGACTACTTTATACCTATTATAATTTGTTGCTCTTGATTCCAGAGAATAGCTGAACCTTGCTGTATTACCTTTAATTGTTGGTTGCCAATTCCAGGTATAGCTGTTCACCAGACTCCAGTTTGACCACCCTAGTGCTTGCCTTTGGCATGTAATCTATCAAATCAGAACTCACTCCAAGATATAATAATATTAAAATGCCATGGTGATTTTATGAGTCCGTATTTCTGTTTGTTTTTTTACTTTAAAAGAAAAACGGATAACTTTTATATCTAGAGGAAATGTACATATAGTTGCTTGTTCACATTTCAAAACACTATTTAAATACTACTTAAAAGTATGGGAAAATTATAATAATTATTAAAATATTGTTAAACAATACACAGAAGTAGTCAGGGATGCATGAAAAAAGCTTATAACTTTATTGGAAAGAGATACATATAGAAACACCTTGAATAGTAATTTAAAAAACTGCACTATCAGGTCAAGACCAGATAGACAGTGACCTGACAGCAATGATTAATGGAGAGAACCCAAAACAACATGCCGTTGATAAAACTTGATTTATAATACTGTATCATATTTTTTGACTATTATTGTTGTTGATTTTGTAGAACATTTTGTTTTTGTAAAATATAGCGTTTTCTAGGTTCTGACTTCTTAGCCATGTTTCAGTTTAGTAGTTTTCCTTATGAACTTTTTCTTTGCTTGAGACAACTTTTCCATCGACGGTCTCCTGTATAATGGTGCGAACTTGGCGTGTGGTTTGAGAAGCTAAAATCGAAAATAAATCTGTTAGACATATGGTACACGAACAAATCGCTGTAACAGTAACACAATATCAACAGTAAATGTATTGTAAATATATAGCACTCAATATGCATGAGATAAAAATCTAATTTTAATGATATTGTATAGATAATATATATTGCATACGTCATTTGAAATATAAATACATAATACCTGTTGAGAAAAAAATGTCTTGTAATAAATAATAGACATATTTTAACTTGTGCCTTTACACATAATATGAAATGGAATTTTCAACAATTTTTAATAAAATTAAAAAAAAAAATAGGAGGAGGCTTACCGTCTTTGTAAGATATGCTAAGGGAAAAATAAAAAGAGAATTGTAAATTACATTTGATATTTGAAACTTCATCAAGGGATCTATAATAAACTTAACATAAACATATAAAAAATGAATTTCTTGGTCATACATGCGAACAAGAGCAATATTACAGTACTTGTCTTCATAAAACCCTTTGTAAATAAAAACAACTATACAAAATATTGAATATAAGCTAAAAGAATAAAAAGAAGTCAAATCACTAAGATAAAAATGTATTATTCTCATCCTGAGATCCAAGCCTTGCAGGGATTTTCATTGATTGTAAAATAAGCCTCTTGTGAAATTTAACTCATTTATAAAAGAAGGCATTTTCTGCAGAATATTTTTCAGTATGATAAGCCAGAGGGTGTTTGTGAATAACAATGGGGTCATTCAACACAGTCCAAAAACGTACAAGAATGAATGCAAACTTGTTTTGTAAGATTAGAATGTTTATTTTATATGTAATTGGCCAAATTCTGGAAATGTACTTTTATTGGTTGATGGTGGTTGATGGACTGGAAGTTTAGAGGGTTTTACATAATGGAAGATAAATTAAGGAACATTTAGCATTTTTATACTTTTGTCAGTAAATTTTTTTTAAAAACTGATGTGCTACTTTATCTGGATAAAACTGTGCCAATCTCTGCATCTGTATGTAAATGAGGAGGGGAGCAGGACTAGAGAAGGCATCACTTGCTATGCAGCAGGAAGCAGACCATGATGAAGAGAAGATGCGTCAGTGGGGCCTAATCATTACCTGTGATAGCAAACCCACCATAGTATGGCCCATCTGGAAAGCGCTCGTGTATGATTAGAAAAGCTCTGAGTTTGTTTTGTTAAACACAAGTAAGTCTAAAAGAGGCACTGAAGCTCTCACGTCAGATGACTCCAGAGTACAAATCCAAAATGGCAGTCATATACCAAAATCACAACAGGCCACCTTTACCTATCCAGGACAGTTGGGGGTATGTATCTCTGTATATATCCTTATCTGACTATTTTTCTATTTATATCGCTATATATATATCGGTCTCACTATATTGATTTCTGTATCTGCTTAAAAGTAAGATATTATTTTTATTTTAAAGCTATATGATTTGACTTATATTAAATTATAAAATGTGTAATTGTGTAATGTAGTTCAACAAAAGGAAGGTGGGGAGAGACAAAATTATAATTTTTCTTGATTGTTGTAGGATCTTAATCTGGCTCTGAATGGATTTATAGACAATTTATTATATTATAGGTTGATGAACTACTTTAAATAAGTACCATACATGGACATTCTTAACATTGTGAATGGAAGACATCACTGGTGTTTATAAAGTTCAAAAAGTTATTTACTAAACTTAATTTTTATATATTTGTTGATGGCAAATTGCCACAACCTGCAATCCAAACAAAAAAATATTATTATTATTATTATTTTCTACTGTGGTTAATAGTTTCCCGTTATTGTGCCTATATTTTCACTTACTCTTCTCCCTCTAGGAGACGTCTGTAGGTTGCAATTTCTTGTTCTAACCGGGTCTTCACATCCATGAGGATTTTATATTCATAACTCTGGCGTTCCATATCTGATCGGAGCTCTGAAAGCTGAGCCTCAACATCACCGATGAGGCTTTGTAACTGTGAAAGTTGTGTGCAGTATCGACCTTCTGTCTCTGCTAATGTGCCTTCTAGAGCAGCTTTCTATATTGGAAAAAAAGAGATTAGGAATTAAATAGTGTTATATTGTAAACATTTAAAATCTCACATTTATGTGCATCCAATAAATTCCTGTCACAGTTACAATTATTTATATAGCACCAAAAAATTACGCACCGCTGTACACTTGAAAACACATTAAATTCTAACAAAACATGTATGACGTACGGGAACAGTAGGTAAAGAGGGCCCTGCCCAAACAAGCTCACAATCAAAATGGGGTGGTGTGTCCTAGTTTTGTGACAGTCTAAAGAGATCGGGTCATATTACTCCAATGTCATTACTGGGTGACCCTATTTATCAAAGACCTTTTAAACTTTGTTTTCCAATGGCGACATTTGTAAACTTATATATGCAAGATATCATTTCGTCTTGAAGAGACGGGTCACATGGGACATTGAAATTTAAATGTAACCATATTTCCAGAAATGGTCAATATGTGGCGCATAGTATTTCGGTGTCATCATGGCAGTGTTATTGAGTCAGCTCCTATATTTGGTGGAAAATATCTTACCAGGCTTAGTTGTGTCTGCAGCTCAATCTCTAAGCCTTGGAATGTGCGTTTTAGGTCTGTGATTTCCGTGTTGCTAGACTGCATCTGTTCACTATGGCTGGCAACTTCTTTGCTTAGTTCTTCTGTCTGTAGAAGGAAAATGAGCATTAAGCACCTGGGTTAAAATTAATCTTAGAAATACTATGAAAAAAGATTGAGTCAAACTAACTCACCCTCTGTAAGTACCAAGCTTCAACTTCTCTCCGGTTCTTGTCAGCAATGACTTCATACTGATCCCTCATTTCAGACAGAATCTTAGTAAGGTCCACAGCAGGGGAAGCATCCATTTCTACATTCACTTGACCACCAACTTGTCCACGGAATGCCTTCATTTCCTGTGTAAAAATAAACAATTGTTTATGAGTGCATCTTCGTCAAAGATCATTGCCTACTTCATTGTATATTCTATAACCTAGTGATAGAACTTCAAGTGTTTTCGCCAGTCTGAATATTCACAAATTTTACCCTACCTCTTCATGGTTCTTCTTCAGGTAAGCCAGCTCCTCCTTCAGGTTCTCAATCTGCATCTCAAGGTCAGAACTAGTTAGTCTCAGCTCATCCAGAACTCTGCGCAACCCGTTGATGTCCCTCTCAACACTCGTGCGAAGGGCCAGCTCATTCTCATACCTTGTTAGAAAGAGGTGAAAAGAACACTCTTAAAATCTTGGACCATCAATTTACATAAATATGTATGTAACTGAACTTCTTGTGGTTCCTGAAATGTCTTAAATATTAGCAGCCAGTAATACTAAGTAATTTTTTACTTTATTTTAACTGCTGCTCCATATTTGGCCACAGGTGATACTAAAATACAATCATGTATTTCTCAATCATGATCTTTGTTTGCACTCAATCTATTGGGCTTTGTGTACAGACTATTTGAGGAGGGCTATTGAATACTGTGATAAAATGAGCTTGATGACCCTTGCTATAATATGGAAAATTCACAGCTTTCATCCACCAAATCATAAAAGTGTAAGATTAAGATTTACTTTGTGTGTCTTTATATGTTGGTCAGATAAAAAACATTGATTAAAGGGGAAGTCTGAAAGAATTTAGGGCATATTGTTGGCCGCTATGCAACAATTTAAGAGCCAAATTCACGCAACAAACTTACTTAGTTCTGAAATCGTCAGCTGCCAACTTGGCATTGTCAATCTGCAGAATGGTTCTTGCATTGTCCAAGTTAGCATTCTGGATCTAAAAGATGGTGAAAGAGTGAAAGAAAGTTACTAAATAATTCAAACATTTTGTAGTATATTTTTACAATTGTCATTTCCTATAGATTGTCCCCCATTGGTAACGGAAAATACACATTACAACAAAAAATTGCTAAATAAATTACTAATTCATGAGATTATACTACACAGTAGCTTTCAATTTTCTTAACAAACTTCTAAAAGTGATTAAAAACAAGTATTTATTGTAATAAAAGTGCTAATAATGTTTAATCAAGTAGGGATGGGAGAAAACTTATGGTTCCAAATTGTGCAATTGTTCACATGTGCGTATTCTTTTCCTTCTTCTTGACTTTAAAAAAGAAAAAAATTACGGGCATGTTTGTTCGTGATGCTAACACATGCTAATGTACGTGTTCACTAACTTTCCTATACAAGGCTAAGGAAGGACCAGCATTGTGTAAGAGTTCTCCTGAATTTCTGGAGTATTTCACTGGCCCTGGAAGCGGAAGAGCTCCTAGGATGTTCCCACAAAGTTCTTGAATTAGTTCATCGGCCTACACAGATGAATATCCATGTTCAGAATAGGGTGTCAGCCTACCTTTAATGGAATTTCGGGTGACTGCCCTACCACCTGTTTTTCTAAATGATAGAGGTTATTCATTAATACAGGGGACAAAAGCATGTAATGAATAGAAGTATTCTATTTAGTTTTTGTTTGGGGCGATAGTGATTGTTTTACAGTGTTATGCTGGGAGCAGGTTTGCAGTTACCATTAGTGATTATGTTGCTTAGAATGCCACCTGAAAGTTAACCTGTAATGGAGATCTGGAAATATATCTTAGCACAGAAAAGTTTTGTGAGATACATTTGAAAATGTTATATTAAGTTAGAACGTTTACAATCAGCAATTTTAGGCCCTTTTTTAGTTGGCAAGTGTTGTCTACTGTTCACTTAGATTGCAAAGGCAGTGTTTTTTCTACTTCATAAACATGTACATATATTTAGAAAAAAATATACTTCCATGTAAGAGTATTCTACAAAAGTGCACCCGTTATTTCATCAATATCTCTTCCCTTATTAAAAAATACATAACCGAACCTTGAATAAACATGCTCATACTTGGGGCTGAGGGGTAATACGAAATGGCATTAAGTTGATTCAGACTCGGTCTGAGTAAAATAAATTTAATAAATTCCTTGTAAGTTTACTGTACTGTATAAACATCCACTTTTAAAGGAGAAAGTTGTTTATCATATTCCATAGGTGATACAGTCTACAGTTCACTGGGTTCATTATCACCTTACAAATAAAATAACATGTGAATGTTTATTACCAGCTTTAATATAGCTGGGGTGTCATTGTTGGATTACAATATGACAGACAACCAACTATGGGAAATATTGCCCAAGGACAAGTGGAGGTCGAAGATTGGAAACTTAATTTCCTCTAACCATACATTATAAAGGAGGCTTAGATCCAGCTTCACATGTAACTGAGCCCATGTCATGTTAGTGAATATATATTTAAGGTTGATCACTTAAGGCTATTATTATCTATTATCTCAATTACAATATAGTAACCTATTACGGCCTGGTTTAAAAATAGTTAAAATATATATTATATTGTGAAATTTAACTGATCTGCACAAATACAACTGTTTAAAACACCGTACCATTGAGTAGAGGTCTATGAAAAGAACAGATAACAAAAGATGTTATACATAACCTATATTATCATGCTATACAATCTTAGGATAAAATAGGGAGTTGTACATGGAATCATCTATTCAAATATTTTGTATCAACATATGGATTAATGGTGAACTAGACAGAAATATTAAAAAGTAACGGTACACTGATGTGTTCACTGGAAGTAGAGAAATGTTTGCTACCTTGTTGCGGAGGTCTTCAATTATCTTGTAGTAGTTACTGTAGTCATTGGATATACAGGGTCTCTGCTTCTCGTACCATTCACGAATCTGAATCTCCAGCATAGAATTAGCTTTCTCCAGCGATCGCACCTTGTCCAGGTATGAGGCCAGACGGTCATTCAGATTCTGCATGGTTTCCTTCTCACCTCCTGACAGAAGGCCATCTCCACCAGCTCCCCCTCCAAAGCCATATCCAGAACCATGAGCTCCACCAAAGCTAGACACGTAGCTGCCACCTATGCCACCACCAAAGCCACCACTAAAGCCACCACAAAGGCCGCTACCAATCCCAGATGAGACAACTCTTGCGGTAGAGATAGAAACATTTTTACCACCACTTCCACCATGGATGCTAGGGGTCCGATAGCCACCTACAGATAACCTACTGGAACCACCACCATAGCCACCGAAACCCAAGCCACCTTTGGTTCCTGTAGAAGTGGAAGTTTGTCTGATACTATAGGAGGACATGGTGTGCTGTAATTACAGAGCCTTAATCTGAATCCCACCGGAAGGATGGTATGTGTGAATGTGAGGAATCCAAACCACTCTACCTAGATTTTATACTTTGGGAAGTGGGTGTAAGTTTGCATGAAAGACAGGTCCCTTCGTAGAGTCATCAGCTTTAATTTGCATGCCAACTTTTGTGAAGGCATCAGGGTTTATAATCACGTCATTGGTTTGGGAAGATAACCCAATAGTGTCTGAACAGCACCATCCCCCCCCCCTCCCCTTCCTTCTTTTCTTTCCTTAAAACTTCTTACATAAAAGTGCCTTTTCTCATCCGAGAGGTGGTGTTGTGTTTCTGTGCTGAGTTGGTTTCTAAAACAAAATGTCTGATTCACATTGACTCAGGGAGGTTCCTGTCCTCCGGCTATGCATTTACATTCCTATACATTTAACCAGGTAAAAAAAAAGTATGTTTTTTTAGAGACACTCCTCCCTATACTGTAAAATATATCCAGACTTTGTGATGTCTCCGAGAGCAATCCCTATTAAAATTGTGTATTCATAATTTCCTATTTAACTTTTTACTGGGGGTTTGCATTAAACTGGCTTTACGTGCCTGTAAATATATCTCAGACAAATAGGAGCAATGTAATGTAACAGCCGTACATAAAATATTAATGCTGCAGATGTGAAATAAATTCCAAACTTTTGCAAAAAACAGGTGTTTATACAAACAAATTGTGTCAATAGATAGTCATTTATAGAAGGCAGTGCATTAACTGGGTGGTAATATTCACAGAACCTGATACAGATCGTACATTGTATACATATATTCATACTGGGGTTAGACTATGGACAAAGTTAGAACATGTTGGACTTGCGTTGGTCAGAAGATGAAAGCAATTGTCCTGGAGTAAGGAAGCAGAAATATTTACTTGAGATGCTGGCGCTGTAATCCGGATTGGGGATAGAACGCCTCTCACCAATGGCTTTTAAATTACCTACCTGTGTTTTAAAATAATTATGTATTTTCGTTTGTATGTTTGTTTATAGGTGTGCATGAGTCTAATAACACGACCAACCTTCATAGTTCTAGGCATATTCTACAATAAATGTGTTAGTATCCACATTGATGGGTAGAGAGCCAATTTTTCCCGGTTGTCATTAGTTGAGTGTGGTTCATTATTGAACATTTTGTCATCTGACAAGACACTTATAACATGCCTGTACCATGTGTCCACCAAATGCTTTTAATCATTTCCATTGTTTTATCTCTGCTGGATAGCTGTCTCCTTACAAATGCCAAGAGTTACTCTTAAAATTGAATGTCTTATAGATGGATGTGATGGATTGATGGATTGGATGGGTGGGTGGAGGGATTAATGGGTGGATTAAAAATATCTAGAAGAGAGTTACAGAACACAAGCCAATCACGATTTCTTACTGCATCAGCTAATCTGTAACATCTTGCTTACACATACGAAATTAAGAAATTGTACTGCTTAACATTGTTTAAACCTCGCCCAACTGATAATAGCAGAAACTTTATTAGTAACACTGAAATATTTTTCTCCAGTTACTCACATATTTGAGAATTACGCAAATAGCATCCTCCAGAAAAAAATTAGAACCTGAATTGTGTTTACTGATACATATTTTGATTATAGCCTAAATACACTGCCTAGAACCCTAGACTTGTTCATATTATTGAGTTCTGATTCAATTAGCAATTTATTATACCCTAGCTTGCTTTTTAAAGGGTATAATATTCTAAATGAGTCTTTCTGCTATTTAATAGGTCAATGTGAATTAGACGTGCATTTGTTTTCGTACGAATACGATTTTGTCAGTAAACAAAAGCCCTACAAACTAAATGTAACGGATCACCTGGCACTCTGACTAGGTACCTCCGCCAAAGGACCACTTCCTAGCAGGAACAGGGGAAAAAACGCACCTCCTTCCTGGATCCGAAGGGAAAATTAGCTCTGACACCTCCATGCACTGGACAACACTTAGTCCTGGGAACTCTGGAACCAAATGGGGAATTAGCTCTAGTCCTTACAAGGACTTTCCCCATTTAATCTCCTGCAAGGTGGAACAGCAGACACAGGAGAAAATTTTCTTTCCCTCCAATAACTGGACGACACACAGTTTTGGTGTGTAAGCAGGAATCTCAAGTTTAATGGGACACACTGGCCTCTTATACAATTTTCCAGGCCAGAGGAACACCCCCTGGACCTGATGGGGCACAGGAACACAAAGGACATAAACCAATCAGAACAAACATACAGTCTGTGACACGCCCATGTACTGCTTAGGAGATGATTGAGTAAAGTCCTGTAAGTAACTCAATTAACTCCAGGCAGAAAAACCACATTTTCACAAAGTTCAGAAAGTACCCCAAACTCCAACATATCCCCATATAGTCTCATCCCCTGATAGCCCCGATCTGGGTGAATAACATATCCAAAAATCACCCAGATCGGTTCAGGGGTTCAGGAATTTCCTGGAAGTCATAGTTTTGACCGACCGCAAGCATGGCCCCATGCCCAAAACAGTTCCAGGGAAATCAGTGCTAACAGTCGGTCTTGTTTGGTAGTCTTTTACAGATTTCCCTGCAGGGCCCATAGTCTGTGGGCAGGAGGCTGACAAGCAGTTTCACTAAATGTAAATGAAATGAAAGGGCAAATGTCGAATGCATTACCTTTTCGTTTCCTTTCGTTCATTTAATAGACTCCGTGCTGCAGGGGAATTAACCACACAGCACGGAGAAATAACACTGCGCTTGCGCAAAAAAAGCAAGGAGGGAGCCGGCAGCGCTACCAGCTCCCTCCTTGTAATAATTAATTATTCCTACCCCCAGCCGTATTACACCCTATGGGGGGGTCACTATGACCCCCATATTATTAAAAGGGAGTGTAACGGACCGTTTCAGCACACAAGGGGTAAAAACCGTTTAGGCAATCGTCCCCCTTTCCGAGATGCAGGCACAGCTACTGCAGAACACCAAACTCCCAAACAGGATACCAAGTAGCACTTCAAATTCCAGAACTGGAACCTCCCAAATAGCTGCTAGCAGACGAACAGGAAAAGCAGACAATCAGCTTACACTCCTGGCAATCAGTCTCTAACAGCATACAGTGAATCCCCCCAAGAACGAGACAAGGCTCCGTGTTGAGGGTCAAGCAGTGGTCTGAGGTGCTGGCACACCCAGCCTGGTTTTTATTACAGTCTTTTCAAATACAGGACCGCCCACAGGGAGGTATAAAACAACCAATCACATATCAGTTACATCCCACATATTCCCTCCCCTTATCCTGAGAGGAAACTCAATTACACATACAGTTAAAACATACTTTCTACCCAACTTTCATAACTCTAAAACCGTACATCACATTCACATAAAATTACATATTCACAATCAATCCATTCAGGGGAACAACATATTAAAACATGGCATGAATCAGACCAGGGGTTCAAAAGTTAGTAAAAGTATCTTTTGGGCCCTGGCTGGCACATGGATATCTGGCTCAAACAGGTTTTACAGAGCCCTCTATCCTGGAGACAATGGGGAAAGTAATCCAATTATCCAGGGATAGAGGCAGACTCCATTGAGCACATGGTTGCAAAAAGACATAAAACCCTTTAAAATACATAACGTCCCCTTTTACACATAGCACACAGACATTTCACATATCCCCAGATAGCTGGGATCTGAGCGCACAAAACTACCGAATAGCGCTCAGATCCTATTCACACAGTTCAATTGCCATGGAGCCGAAGTCTTTAACTACACGAATGGGCTCCATGGCATAGCTATCTGGGTTAACACATTTACATAAAGTCTGGTCCATAGTCCAAAGGCAGCAGGCGGGCAGCCAGGCTTCTCCAATGCAATGTGGCGAGATTGCTCTCGTCACAGGAACTAATACAGTAGAGTATACAGCAGAGCATGAGGATGACAGAGTTGGATCCCTAACTGCAGAGATAGGAAATAGATAACAAGGTGTATTTTTGGACCGTAGGGTAGATGAGCCAGAAAAGCAGACACCTTGTGGAAAATAGAACTGATATACAGGATACACTAGTCAGGACGAAAGAGAATTTAAAAAAATCATAAAGGCTGAACTTCATGGACATTTGTCTCTTTTCTACGAAACAGAAGAATAAAAGTATGTTGGGCGCTTCGATATTCTAGACGATAAATAGATAACAAAGGTTAACAAATGTAAACCTCTTTAGTTTAGAAAAACATCACCTGAGAGGGAATATGATAACATTATACAAATATATTCAGGTCCAATACAAACCATTGTGTGGAAATCTATTCACAAACCGGACTTTACATAGGACACAAGGTCATGCGTTTAGACTGGAAGAAAGAAGATTTCGTCTAAGGCAAAGGAAAGGTTTTTCACGGTAAGAACAATAAAGATGTGGAATTCTCAGTCCATACAGATGTTAAAATAGCAACTAGATGCATACTTGCAAAAACAGAATATTCAAGGATATAATTTTTCAATGTAGGGTAATAGCTGATTGATCCAAGGATAAATCTGACTGCCATTCTAGTGTCAAGAAGGAATTTTTTTCCTAGTTTATTGCAAAATTGGAAATACTTCAAGCTGGGGTTTTGTTGTTCCCCACCACTCTACGTAAAATCTATAGTTCAAAATATAAAATATATACCAGTGTCAAACAAACACCCAAGTGTCAGAAAATAGTGTAATAAAAAATGTATACAAACGCATGTAGAATTCTTGATTATACAAAAAAAGCAGAAAAAATAACATAGTGTATACTGTACATAATCTCACAAAATAACACTGGGTAGGGGTTAGAATCTGACTCACATGGTCCAGAGCCGTGCCAGGCTGTGTCTTAGAGGCTCAGGGGTGCCAAATATGGGTCAGGTACAAGATGGTAAGGAGTTCCACAAAAATAGATATTGTAACAGGGCTTTTTTGTGGCATTGGCTCAGTGAGGGCTTTTTTCTAGCAACTCGACCATGCAGATCATTTTAGTTCGATGTTTTTTGGTTTTTTTTAATATAAGAGCTGTTCATGCTTGACTCTCTGGAGCGAGAGAGGTTCACCCACTGGAACCTGGAGCCTTGTCGTAGGGCCAGGGTGGGTAGGAGACGGCGAGACCCCGACCAAGCTGCGGCGGTTCGTGGGGTTTGAAGTGGTTATGGTGCTCCAGCACAGTGCTTATGGTACTCGTCAGTACTAGGAAGCAGCGATTGACAGAGGTACACAGTCGGGGTGCAGTCGGTCCGTCACAGGTATAATCTCACATTTTTCTTGGACTATGCCAAGCACCAGGCTCTGATTTATTTCTGCTACCTCTATCATCATTTTTTTTTTTTTTTATTAATTATTTATTTACCTTTATTTAATAATATTACACCTATAAATCTAACAATAAATCTAAAAACACCTACACCAGCAACTTAAGAAGGGAGAAGACTTATAACTGTATCTTTCTTAGAGCTTTCCTATCTCGTCTCTTCTTCTCCCTTCCCTCTCTTCCCTATCTGTAACTAATTTGTTGATGACAACATAAACATTCATACCACATTCATACTCAATCTAACCATTTGGGGATAATCAATCTTAGTAATATTTACAAAATTGATTCCTCTATTTTTTGAATCCTTGATTAGTTTCAAAGATGTTTATATGATTTCACTCCATATTTTTCTTTCTTTTTGTACCATTGCGACCATTTTTTTAAATGAATTTCCAAATTTGTTTCATTGATTTGCCAGTAACCTTTCTCCATTAGCTCTTGATATTCCACTTGTTAAAATAACTCTGCAAAGTTTATTTTTGCACTACTTTTCCACTTCCTTACCAGTTGTGATTTAAAAGCTAGTAATAAGTGAATAGCTGTCTCTAAAAATTTTATTTAGCATCTTTATGTCAATATGAAACAAAGCTAATCCTTACATTCCCACCACAGATGAATAAAGGAACCTACCTCACTAGAACATCTCCAGCATGTTTCACTATATTGACTATTGAATTTTATTTTTTTTAAATTTAAGTCAAATACCATCGGAATAGGAACTTAAAATATATTTCTAATAGATTTACTTTATGTGTAACATGTTTCGTGAAATTTATAGCTGTTTTCTATTCATCTATTTCAAGTGCACATTCTTCTTGCCATCTCTTTATTTGCATTAATGCAGAAAATGGTTGTTGTTGATTGATTAAATTATACATGGTCTTCCCCATCCTATTTTCTATTTTCCCTAGAAATATTGCTTCTATATTGTTGTTCTTAATTTTTTTAGACCTCAGTATCTCCTTTTCAAAATAACTTTTCAAACTTAAATACTTATAAAATTCATTTGGTGGTAGTTTGAAGTTTTGGGAACGTTGACAAAAGAGTACAACTTTATTATCTGATATAGATGTGTTATCCCTTTATCTACCCAAGATTTTAAACTTATATCATTTGGAATAATTCCCATCATATTTAATGGGATATAGGATTTCAGCTCAAACATTGCTAAATATTTTGATTTTATTTTTCTCCAAAAAAATTCCCTAATTTTTTGAGCAAATGGTTCCAATGAGAGTACTTATAACATTGGAGCGAAAGGGCACCCTTGTCTGGTACCATTAAATATTTTGAAACAAGGAGATCTTATTCCTGAGCCTACCTCAATTGAGCCTACTCCAATTGATCAGACTGTAAGGTCTCCTGGTTCCAGACTGTCAGAGTTCAGTACTCTCTCTCCTGCAGTTTACTGTGTTCAGTCTGAGGGGGCGGGCCATGCACAAATCAATGTGTTCTGGAGGCTGGGCCATGCATAGATTACTGTGTTCAGTCTGAGGAGGCGGAGTCATGTACAGGAAGCCTCAGCCCCTCTGTGTGTGTCTTAGACCCACCTCAACCCCTTTGTGTGTCTTTGTGTCCCCCAGCCCCTATGTGTGTCACTGTGTGCCCACCAGATTCTACAGGGAGTGCAGAATTATTAGGCAAATGAGTATTTTGACCACATCATCCTCTTTATGCATGTTGTCTTACTCCAAGCTGTATAGGCTCGAAAGCCTACTACCAATTAAGCATATTAGGTGATGTGCATCTCTGTAATGAGAAGGGGTGTGGTCTAATGACATCAACACCCTATATCAGGTGTGCATAATTATTAGGCAACTTCCTTTCCTTTGGCAAAATGGGTCAAAAGAAGGACTTGACAGGCTCAGAAAAGTCAAAAATAGTGAGATATCTTGCAGAGGGATGCAGCACTCTTAAAATTGCAAAGCTTCTGAAGCGTGATCATCGAACAATCAAGCGTTTCATTCAAAATAGTCAACAGGGTCGCAAGAAGCGTGTGGAAAAACCAAGGCGCAAAATAACTGCCCATGAACTGAGAAAAGTCAAGCGTGCAGCTGCCACGATGCCACTTGCCACCAGTTTAGCCATATTTCAGAGCTGCAACATCACTGGAGTGCCCAAAAGCACAAGGTGTGCAATACTCAGAGACATGGCCAAGGTAAGAAAGGCTGAAAGACGACCACCACTGAACAAGACACACAAGCTGAAACGTCAAGACTGGGCCAAGAAATATCTCAAGACTGATTTTTCTAAGGTTTTATGGACTGATGAAATGAGAGTGAGTCTTGATGGGCCAGATGGATGGGCCCGTGGCTGGATTGGTAAAGGGCAGAGAGCTCCAGTCCGACTCAGACGCCAGCAAGGTGGAGGTGGAGTACTGGTTTGGGCTGGTATCATCAAAGATGAGCTTGTGGGGCCTTTTCGGGTTGAGGATGGAGTCAAGCTCAACTCCCAGTCCTACTGCCAGTTCCTGGAAGACACCTTCTTCAAGCAGTGGTACAGGAAGAAGTCTGCATCCTTCAAGAAAAACATGATTTTCATGCAGGACAATGCTCCATCACACGCGTCCAAGTACTCCACAGCGTGGCTGGCAAGAAAGGGTATAAAAGAAGAAAATCTAATGACATGGCCTCCTTGTTCACCTGATCTGAACCCCATTGAGAACCTGTGGTCCATCATCAAATGTGAGATTTACAAGGAGGGAAAACAGTACACCTCTCTGAACAGTGTCTGGGAGGCTGTGGTTGCTGCTGCACGCAATGTTGATGGTGAACAGATCAAAACACTGACAGAATCCATGGATGGCAGGCTTTTGAGTGTCCTTGCAAAGAAAGGTGGCTATATTGGTCACTGATTTGTTTTTGTTTTGTTTTTGAATGTCAGAAATGTATATTTGTGAATGTTGAGATGTTATATTGGTTTCACTGGTAATAATAAATAATTGAAATGGGTATATATTTGTTTTTTGTTAAGTTGCCTAATAATTATGCACAGTAATAGTCACCTGCACACACAGATATCCCCCTAACATAGCTAAAACTAAAAACAAACTAAAAACTACTTCCAAAAATATTCTGCTTTGATATTAATGAGTTTTTGGGTTCATTGAGAACATGGTTGTTGTTCAATAATAAAATTAATTCTCAAAAATACAACTTGCTTAATAATTCTGCACTCCCTGTATGTGTGCCTTTTTCACCCAGCACCTCTATGTCTCTCTTTGTGCTACCCTCTCCCCTATTGTGCACTCTTTAGCCCCCTCCACTCATATGCCCTTATGTAGCCCCCCTCCTCTCCTGTGCTCTTCTATAGCCCTATCCCCTCTTGTGCCCTTACATAGCCCCCCTCTTGTGCCCTTATGTAGCTCTGCTTTCCTCCTGTACCCTTATGTAGTCCTGTACCCTTATGTAGTACCCTTTACTTCCTGTGCCCTCTTTTGCCCTTCCTGTGCCATTTTGTGTCCCCTCCCCTTCCTGTGCCCTCTTTAGCTCCTCACCCTTCCTGTGCCCTTATGTAGCACCCTCCTGTGACCACTTAAGTCACCTCATCTCCTTTCTCCTTATGTAGTCCCCTCTCCAACTGTGCCCTCTTTAGTCCCCCTCTCCTCCTGTACCTTTATGTAGCCCCCTTAACCTCCTGTGCCATCTCTTTCCCCTTCCTGGGACATTCTTTGCTCCCCTCCCCTTTCTGTGCCCTCTTTAGCACCTCACCCCTCCTGTGCTCTTATGTATTCCTCTTCCTGTGCGCTCTTTTGCCCCTCTCATGTGCCCTTATGAAGCCCCCCTCCTGTGCCCTTATGAAGCCCCCCTGCCCTGTGCCTGTTTACCTTCCAGCCCAGCCAGCCTTCCAGAAGCTCTTAGGGTCATTAAGCAGGGGCAGAGTTTAAAAGGAGGGTGGGGCTTATCATGAGAGGTGGAGCCTACTGCCGCAATGCGCCTCTACTCACAGAGGTCAGTACTGCATTTGAATTGGGGGGCACAAGGGGAGGCACAGCATAATGTTGGGGGCCATGGCCCCCTCCTAGTGCTGCCATTGCTTACATGTAGGAATTAACCCTGCTTACCAGCAAGTAATCAGCTTGAGGGGGCAATTTACCTTTGACAACAGAGAAAATAACATGAGCCATTAATTATTACATTCTAACGTTGAGCAGATCTTTGTGCCATCGTGGTTTAACAGAGGGTGAACTCTATTTTGGCATATTCGTGACAATCACACTCTTATTAGTTATTATACTTTTTATTTCTCTTAATGACTTTGATATATATTTTAGCTAATCCACACAGAGGATGTCCATTATCCACTATTCAGAGATAATTATCTTTAAAAACAGTGGAAGCGGAATAGATCCTGATGAGCCTTCTGATACACATTGAAATTGTGACTTGTGAGTAAGGCATTGTTCATTATTCAACTTTCTACACCATGAATTAATGAAGTTTATATTAAAGGGGCGCTTTAACGTTAGGAATACAAAACAGTATTCCAACTCTATAGTGTCCCTCTGCAATTAACTGAGCGCTTCAGTTTAGAACATCGTGAGGGTGGAGCACGTTTACAGCGTGGCATTGTGCGCATCTGCATTCCTCCTCCTGCTGCCTGGCTGCAGCTCTCGTTAAGAGTCTAGGTGGCACCCCCGTAACGAGAGGCACCCGGGGCAGACCTCCCTCCCTGCCCCTCTACTAATACGCTACTGCACCCATCACTGCCTTTATCCACCAACCACAGCCCCTATCCCCCACACTACAGCCCCTGTCTTCCCACTATAGCTTCTATTCCCTCACCATGGTCCCTGTCCCCCCACCATGTCCACAATACCCCTCACCATATGTGTATTCATGTGCATTGAGGAAACTGGCCTTAAGGCAGCAAGAGGGCTAAATATGGTGTTCCTTTAGTTTATTGTTCCAAATAGTATTTTTTAACATGAAGATGTACTATACACAGGGCCGGACTGGCCCACTTTGATACCGGAAAAATTGCCAGTGGGCTAGCATATCTTCAGGCGGGTGCACATCTTGTAGCATGGCCGAGCATACAGTAGGTAGAGGATCTTCTGTATCCTCTTCCCAGCCTGACAGGAAGTGCTCTTAGTGAGAGCATTTCCTGTCAGACCGACAAGAGGAAACAGAAGATCCTCAGGGGAGGCGTGATAGACACATAGAAGGGCTAGAGGGTATTTGGTGGATATGAGACACATGGAGGGGCGAGGGAGAAAGAGACATATGGGGGGGTTAGAGGTGAGGACTGAAACACATGGAGGGGCTAAGAAAGGAGAACAAGAGACAATCAGAGGAGCTGGGGAAGGGGAGAATGAGACACACAGAGGGACTGATTTAATGCATCTCTATGAGGAGATGTTGATTGGCGCAGTGCGGTATTATGCCACGCATGCGCAATAGCCTCGTAATGCTTTCCTATGGGAAACCATTGTATTGGTGATCATCAAGACACCTAAAAGTGTTGAAATGTTGGCATTATAGTTGATGGCTGAATAAACTTTGCAAATCAGATAATTGTGTGCTGAAGATCAAATGGCATTTTCTTTTGAATATAGAAATATATCTTTGTTAGACTACTTTATACCTTTTATAATTTGTTGCTCTTGATTTCAGAGAATTGCTGAACCTTGCTGTATTACCTTTAATTGTTGGTTGCCTATATACACAGAGCCAATTCCAGGTATAGCTGTTCACCAGATACTACTTTGACCACCCTAGTGCTTGCCTTTTCCATGTAATCTATCAAATCAGAATTCACTCCAAGATATAATAATATTAAAATGCGATGGTGATTTTATGAGTCCGTATTTCTGTTTGTTTTGGGGTGGGGGGGTTAACTTTAAAAGGAAAACGGCTAACTTTCCTATCTAGAGGAAATGTACATACAGTTGCTTGTTTACTTTTCAAAACACTATTTGAATACTACTTAAAAGTATGGTAACATTATTATAATTAATTAAAATATTATTAAAAAATACACAGAAGTAGTCAGGGATGCATGAAAAAAAGCTTATAACTTTATTGGAAAGAGATACATATAGAAACACCTTGAATAGTAATTTTAAAAAACTGCACTATTAGGTCAAGACCAGAAAGACAGTGACCTGACAGCAATGACTAATGGACAGAACCCAAAACAACATGTCATTGATAAATCTTGATTTTGTTTTGTAATACTGTATCGTATTTTTTGACTATTATTGTTGTTGATTTTGTAGAACATTTTATTTTTGTAAAATATAGCATTTTCTAGGTTCTGACTTCTTAGCCATGTTTCAGTTTAGTAGTTTTCCTTATGAACTTTTTCTTTGCTTGAGACAACTTTTCCATCGACGGTCTCCTGTATTATGGTGCGAACTTGGCGTGTGGTTTGAGAAACTAAAATAGAAAATAAATCTGTTAGACATATGGTACACGAACAAATCACTGTAACAGTAACACAATATCAACAGTAAATGTATTGTAAATGTATAGCACTCAATATGCATGAGATAAAAATCACATTTTAATGATATTGTATAGATAATATAAAGTGTATACGTCATTTGAAATATAAATACATAATACCTGTTGAGAAAAAATGTCTTGTAATAAATAATAGACATATTTTAACTTGTGCATTTACACATAATATGAAATGGAATTTTCAGCAATTAAGAAAAAAAAATAGGAGGAGGCTTACCGTCTTTGTAAGATATGCTAAGGGAAAAATAAAAATAAAATTGTAAATTACATTTGATATTTGAAACTTGATCAAGGTATCTATAATAAACTTAACATAAACATATAAAAAAATGAATTTCCTGGTCATACATGAGAACAAGAGCAATATTACAGTATTTGTCTTCATAAAACCCTTTGCAAATAAAAACAATACAAAATATTGAATATAAGCTAACAGAATAAAAAGAAGTCAAATCACTAAGATTAAAATGTATTATTCTCATCCTAAGATCTGAGCCTTGCAGGGATTTTCATTACTAGTAAAATAAGCCTCTTGTGAAATTTAAGTCATTTATAAAAGAAGGCATTTTCTGCTGAATACTTTTGGGGTCATTCAACACAGTCCAAAAATGTACAAGAATGAATGCAAACTTGTTTTGTAAGATTAGAATTTTTATTTTATATGTAATTGGCCAAATTCTGGAAATGTACTTTTATTGGTTGATGGTGGTTAATGGACTGGAAGTTTAGAGGGTTTTACATTATGGAAGATAAATTAAGGAACATTTAGCATTTTTATACTTTTGTCAGTAAATTTTTAAAAAAAACTGATGTGCTACTTTATCTGGATAAAACTGTGCCAATCTCTGCATCTGTATGTAAATGAGGAGGAGAGCAGGACTAGAGAAGGCATCACTTGCTATGCAGCAGGAAGCAGACCATGATGAAGAGAAGATGCGTCAGTGGGGCCTAATCATTAGCTGTGATAGCAAACCCAACATAGTATGGCCCATCTGGAAAGCGCTCGTGTATGATCAGAAAAGCTCTGAGTTTGTTTTGTTAAACACAAGTAAGTCTAAAAGAGGTACTAAAGCTCTCACGTCAGATGACTCCAGAGTACAAATCCAAAATGGCAGTCATGTACCAAAATCACAACAGGCCACCTTTACCTATCCAGGACAGTTGGGGGTATGTATCTCTGTATATATCCTTATCTGACTATTTTTCTATTTATATCGCTATATATATCAGTCTCACTATATTGATTTCTGTATCTGCTTAAAAGTAAGTATTATTTTTATTTTAAACCTATATGATTTGACTTATATTAAATTATAAAATGTGTAATTGTGTAATGTAGTTCAACAAAAGGAAGGTGGGGAGAGACAAAATTATAATTTTTCTTGATTGTTGTAGGACCTTAATCTGGCTCTGAATGGATTTATAGACAATTTATTATATTATAGGTTGATGAACTACTTTAAATAAGTACCATACATGGACATTCTTAACATTGTGAATGGAAGACATCACTGGTGTTTATAAAGTTCAAAAAGTTATTTACTAAACTTAATTTTTATATATTTGTTGATGGCAAATTGCCACAACCTGCAAAACCAAAGAAAAAAATATTATTATTATTATTATTTTCTACTGTGGTTAATAGTTTCCCGTTATTGTGCCTATATTTTCACTTACTCTTCTCCCTCTAGGAGACGTCTGTAGGTTGCAATTTCTTGTTCTAACCGGGTCTTCACATCCATGAGGATTTTATATTCATAACTCTGGCGTTGCATATCTGATCTTAGCTCTGAAAGCTGAGCCTCAACATCACCGATGAGGCTTTGTAACTGTGAAAGTTGTGTGCAGTATCGACCTTCTGTCTCTGCTAATGTGCCTTCTAGAGCAGCTTTCTATATTGGAAAAAAAGAGATTAGGAATTAAATAGTGTTATATTGTAAACATTTAAAATCTCACATTTATGTGCATCCAATAAATTCCTGTCACAGTTACAATTATTTATATAGCACCAAAAAATTACGCACCGCTGTACACTAGAAAACACATTAAATTCTAACAAAACATGTATGACGTACGGGAACAGTAGGTAAAGAGGGCCCTGCCCAAACAAGCTCACAATCAAAATGGGGTGGTGTGTCCTAGTTTTGTGACAGTCTAAAGAGATCGGGTCATATTACTCCAATGTCATTACTGGGTGACCCTATTTATCAAAGAGCTTTTAAACTTTGTTTTCCAATGGCGACATTTGTAAACTTATATATGCAAGATATAATTTCGTCTTGAAGAGACGGGTCACATGGGACATTGAAATTTAAATGTAACCATATTTCCAGAAATGGTCAATATGTGGCGCATAGTATTTCGGTGTCATCATGGCAGTGTAATTGAGTCAGCTCCTATATTTGGTGGAAAATATCTTACCAGGCTTAGTTGTGTCTGCAGCTCAATCTCTAAGCCTTGGAATGTGCGTTTTAGGTCTGTGATTTCCGTGTTGCTAGACTGCATCTGTTCACTATGGCTGGCAACTTCTTTGCTTAGTTCTTCTGTCTGTAGAAGGAAAATGAGCATTAAGCACCTGGGTTAAAATTAATCTTAGAAATGCTATGAAAAATGATTGAGTCAAACTAACTCACCCTCTGTAAGTACCAAGCTTCAACTTCTCTGCGGTTCTTGTCAGCCATGACTTCATACTGATCCCTCATTTCAGACAGAATCTTAGTAAGGTCCACAGCAGGGGAAGCATCCATTTCTACATTCACTTGACCACCAACTTGTCCACGGAATGCCTTCATTTCCTGTGTAAAAATAAACAATTGTTTATGAGTGCATCTTCGTCAAAGATCATTGCCTACTTCATTGTATATTCTATAACCTAGTGATAGAACTTCAAGTGTTTTCGCCAGTCTGAATATTCACAAATTTTACCCTACCTCTTCATGGTTCTTCTTCAGGTAAGCCAGCTCCTCCTTCAGGTTCTCAATCTGCATCTCAAGGTCAGAACTAGTTAGTCTCAGCTCATCCAGAACTCTGCGCAACCCGTTGATGTCACTCTGAACACTCGTGCGAAGGGCCAGCTCATTCTCATACCTTGTTAGAAAGAGGTCAAAAGAGCACTCTTAAAATCTTGGACCATCAATTTACATAAATATGTATGTAACTGAACTTCTTGTGGTCCCTGAAATGTCTTAAATATTAGCAGCCAGTAATACTAAGTATATTTTTACTTTATTTTAAATGCTGCTCCATATTTGGCCACAAGTGATACTAAAATACCATCATGTATTTCTCGATCACGATCTTTGTTTGCACTTAATCTATTGGGCTTTGTGTACAGACTTTTCGAGGAGGGCTATTGAATACTGGGATAAAATGAGCTTGATGACCCTTGCTATAATATGGAAAATTCACAGCTTTCATCCACCAAATCATAAAAGTGTGAGATTAAGATTTCCTTTGTGTGTCTTTATATGTTGGTCAGATAAAAACATTGATTAAAGGGGAAGTCTGAAAGAATTTAGGGCATATCATTGGCCGCTATGCAACAATTGTGCCAAATTCACGCAACAAACTTACTTAGTTCTGAAATCGTCAGCTGCCAACTTGGCATTGTCAATCTGCAGAATGGTGCTTGCATTGTCCAAATTAGCATTATGGATCTAAAAGATGGGGAAAGAGTGAAAGAAAGTTACTAAATAATTCAAACATTTTATAGTATTTTTTTACAATTTTCCATGGATTTTCCCCGATTGGTAACGGAAAATACACGTTACAACAAAAAAATGCTAAGTAAATTACTAATTCATGTGATTATACTACACAGTAGCTTTCAATTTTCTTAACAAACTTCTAAAAGTGTTTTAAAACAAGTATTTATTTTAATGAAAGTGCTAATAATGTTTAATCAAGTAGGGATGGCAGAAAATTCATGTTTCCAAATCGTGCAACTGTTCACATGTGCGTATTCTTTTCCTTCTTCTTGACTTTAAAAAATAAAAAATTACGGACATGTTTCTTATGCTAACACGTGCTAATGTTTGAGTTCACTAACTTTTCCATACAAGGCTAAGGAAGGACCAGCATTGTGTAAGAGTTCTCCTGCATTTCTGCAGTATTTCAATGGCCCCAGAAGTGGAAGAGCTCCTAGGATGTTGATGCAAAATAGGAATATTCAGAGGTCGGTATTTACCTATCACGTACTGAATATATTACCTTCAGTGCAGAAGGAAATTTTTGCAAAACCTCAGATTACGTGACATGACAGCTTTTTTCTTATAAATCATTTTGAATGTTATTTACAAAAAATTTGCATTATTTCAAGCCCTGTAGAATCAGCAGCAATCGCAAATCACTTATGTGCTATGATATTGTTATATAGATATCAAATAGTAATATTCTTATAAAACTTATTCTGGAGTCACCCTTGTGGAAAAATATTTTCTTTGTACAAGTCATGTTTTTTTCCCACAAAGACCTTGAATTAGTTCATCGGCCTACACAGACGAATATCCATGTTCAGAATAGGGTGTCAACCTACTTTTAATGGAATTTCGGGTGACTGCCCAACCACCTGTTTTTCTAAATGATAGAAGTTATTCATTAATACAGGGGACAAAAGCATGTAATGAATAGAAGTATTCTATTTAGTTTTTGTTTGGGGCGATAGTGATTGTTTTACAGTGTTATGCTGGGAGCAGGTTTGCAGTTACCATTAGTGATTATGTTGCTTAGAATGGCACCTGAAAGTTAACCTGTAATGGAGATCTGGAAATATATCTTAGCACAGAAAAGTTTTGTGAGATACATTTGAAAATGTTATATTAAGTTAGAACGTTTACAATCAGCAATTTTAGGCCCTTTTTTAGTTGGCAAGTGTTGTCTACTGTTCACTTAGATTGCAAAGGCAGTGTTTTTTCTACTTCATAAACATGTACATATATTTAGAAAAAAATATACTTCCATGTAAGAGTATTCTACAAAAGTGCACCCGTTATTTCATCAATATCTCTTCCCTTATTAAAAAATACATAACCGAACCTTGAATAAACATGCTCATACTTGGGGCTGAGGGGTAATACGAAATGGCATTAAGTTGATTCAGACTCGGTCTGAGTAAAATAAATTTAATAAATTCCTTGTAAGTTTACTGTACTGTATAAACATCCACTTTTAAAGGAGAAAGTTGTTTATCATATTCCATAGGTGATACAGTCTACAGTTCACTGGGTTCATTATCACCTTACAAATGAAATAACATGTGAATGTTTATTACCAGCTTTCATATTGCTGGGGTGTCATTCAGGGCTCGAGTCCTGCAGGAACGCATGGGAACGGCGTTCCTGCACTTTTTCCAAAGCAGGAACGCCGTTCCCGTTACCTGTCCTGCAGGACCGGCCCTGGTCCCTGCACTGAGGGGCCGTCACATGCTGTGTTCCTTCTCCAGCTATAACTCTCGCGAGACCCGCGGCTGTTACCATGGCAACGCTCCGCACAGGCGAGTCTCGCGAGAGTTAGAGCTGGAGAGGGAACACAGCGTGTGATGGCCCCTCTGTGCAGCGGCTGGCTCCCTCCAGCATACCACCGGACCACCAGGCGATCTCCCCCCTCTCTGACAAGGTAAGAAGCAGGGAGGGGGGAATAAAATTAAAAAATATAAACACATAAAGTAAGAAAAAAATGCTCCCCCCCCCCACACACACATCATCCAGCACTCACACACACATCATCCAGCACTCACACACACATCATCCAGCACACACACACACCCATCATCCAGCACTCACACACCCATCATCCAGCACTCACACACCCATCATCCAGCACACACACACACAATCCAGCACTCACACACCCATCATCCAGCACTCACACACACACAATCCAGCACTCACACACACAATCCAGCACTCACACACCCATCATCCAGCACTCACACACCCACATCCAGCACACACACACCCATCATCCAGCACCTCACACACACCCATCAATATCCAGCACACACACATCATCCAGCACTCCACACACACATCATCCAGCACTCACACACACATCATCCAGCACTCACACAAACACCCATCATCCACAGCACACACACCCATCATCCAGCACTCACACACACATCATCCAGCACTCACACACCCATCATCCAGCACTCACACACCCATCATCCAGCACACATACCCATCATCCAGCACACACACACCCATCATCCAGCACACACACACCCATCATCCAGCACACACACACCCATCATCCAGCACTCACACATCCATCATCCAGCACTCACACATCCATCATCCAGCACTCACACACCCATCATCCAGCACTCACACACCCATCACCCAGCACTCACTCACACATCATCCAGCACTCACTCACACACACATCATCCAGCACTCACACACCCATCACCCAGCACTCACACACCCATCATCCAGCACTCACTCACACACACATCATCCAGCACTCACACACACCATCATCCAGCACTCACACACACACATCATCCAGCACCTCACACACATCATCATCCAGCACACACACACACACCCATCATCCAGCACTCACACACACACCCATCATCCAGCACTCACACACCCATCATCCAGCGCACACGCACACATCATCCAGCACACACACACACACACACATCATCCAGCACACACACACACACACATCATCCAGCACAGACACACACAATCATCCAGCACACACACACAATCATCCAGCACACACACACATCATCCAGCACTCACACACACATCATCCAGCACACACACATCATCCAGCACTCACACACACATCATCCAGCACTCACACACACATCATCCAGCACTCACACACACATCATCCAGCACACACACACACATCCAGCACTCACACACATCATCCAGCACTCACACACATCATCCAGCGCACACACACATCATCCAGCGCACACACACACACACACACACACATCATCCAGCACTCACACACACGTCATCCAGCGCGCGCACACACACATCATCCAGCACACGCACACACTGCATTCATTATACACACTCTTCACTCACTACAAACACACTACATTCACTATACACCCTCTGCATTCACTATACACACTCTGTATTTATTATGCACATTCTGCACTCACTACACACTACATTCACTATACACACTCTGCATTCACTACAAACACACTACATACACTGCATTCATTGTACACACTCTGCACTCACTACAAACACACTACATTCATTATACACACCCTGCACTGCACTATATGCATAGGAGTGTAATTTTTTTTTTTTTAAAGGGGGGGAGGGGAGGGGGACGGCGGGAATCTTGGGTGAGTTCCCACACTTTTTTCCCCAGGACTTGGCCCCTGAGTGTAGTGTGTGCGTGTATACATATATATATATATATATATATTTGGAAGTATTGTGTATGTTTGTGGTGCAGTGTGTTGGGGGGGGTTCTGTGTGTATGTGAGGGGTGCAGTATGTGTGTGTGAGAGTGCGGTGTGTGATGGGTGTGAGAGTGCTGTGTGTGAGTGATGGGTGTGAGAGTGCCATGTGTGAGTGAAGGGTGTGAGAATGCTGTGTGTGAGTGATGGATGGGAGAATGCCGTGTGTGAGTGATGGGTGTGAGAATGCTGTGTGTGAGTGATGGATGTGAGTGTGCTGTGTGAGATGGGCATGTGAGATGGGTGTGAGAGTGCTGTGTGTGTGTGAGTGCTCTGTGAGAGTGATGGGTGTGAGAGTGCTGTGAGAGAATGCTGTGTGTGATGGGTGTGAGAGTGATGGGTGTGAGAGTGCTGTGTGTGATGGGTGTGAGAGTGCTGTGAGAGTGTTGTGTGTGTGAGTGCTCTGTGAGAGTGCTGTGAGTGTGATGGGTGTGAGAGAGTGCTGTGTGTGTTAAAGTGCTGTGTGTGATGGGTGTGAGAGTGCTGTGTGAGAGAGAGTGCTGTGTGTGTGTGAGAGTGCTGTGTGTGATGGGTGTGAGAGTGCTGTGTGAGAGAGAGTGCTGTGTGTGATGGGTGTGAGAGAGAGTGCTGTATGTGATGGGTGTGAGAGTGCTGTATAAATGTTATTGTGTGTATGTAGGGGGGGTAAATAAAAAAAATAAAAAACAGGTATTATTCCCCCCCCTCCCTTCTTACCTCTAGCCTGGGAGGGGGGGACCGGCACGCTGGGACTGGAGGCGGGGAGGCAGTGTTCCCTGGTGGTCCTCGTGGGTGAGTGAACTCCTCGCGAGATCCGGTCGTTGCCATGGCAACGCGCCGGATCTCGCGAGAGGATCCCGGCGGAGCCGCAAATTAGAGCTCCGCCGGGTCCTCTCTCCAGCCTGGCTGGCTGTCTCCCTCCCTCCCCGCCGGCGGCCGCATGTGGGCCGGTGAGGGAGATCTTTGATCTCCCCACCGGCCCGTCGTGGCAGACAGCGGGGCCGGCGCTAGGAGAGTGCCGGCCCTGCATAGACCGGCAGGGGAGATCCTGGGACCTCCCCTGCCGGCCTCGGCCCCACGGACACCGCGGCCCACCGGGCATTTGCCCGGTGTGCCCGATGGCCAGTCCGGGCCTGCCACTGACCCTATCCCAGCAGAGGAGCTGGCATCCGGGCAGAGAGCAGCTGGTCTCTGTCCTCCCCTTTCCCTTTGTCCAGGGCCTGAATATCCACAGGCTATCTCAGCAGAAGCGCTGGCATCAGGGCAGAGCGCAGTTGGCCTCTCCCCTTCCCTTGTCCTCAGTCCAGGACAGGGATGACCCTCTGACCTACCCAGCTGTAATGCTGGCTACGGGGCAGAGCTCTGCTGGCCTCTGCCCACCAGTTAACCCCAACTCCAAGGTACTGGGAGCTGGGCTACAGAAGTCACCAGATCCAGTACTTGTTTTTGGGTGGGATACTTGACTAACTCAGATACTGACCGACAGGAGGTCAGGTACTTGGTTAGTCTTACCTTGGGGGGAAAATATGGTGAAAGTAACCTTGGCACTGGTTCTTGGAGGGGCCCAATTGCCAGCCTCTTGCCCCTATGGCCCATGTATTAGACCTTGGTCCAGGACTGTGGAAAGGTTTTGTTCGTGTAGGGTGGTTAGCTGGGTGGCCGTCGTTCGTATGTGCAAATACGTGGCAGCAGCCAGCTTTAGCCGCAAATTCACAAACAGCAGTGTTTGGTCGTCGAGTGCATAGAACTATAATCGGACACTCTGCGGTGCGAACACCGCTGGGACTTCCATCTCTTCGCACATGCAACTGGATTCACTTGAGAAGAGCGGCGTTCGGTGGAAACACTCTTGAACAAGAGACACAGACTAAGTATACATACGAACTGGTTGCTTTCTTATTTCTGTTATATTGTGAACTACCGAACTAGACCAACCGCAAGCCCTTATTCTCTGGAACTGTTTTGGGCATGGGACCATGCGTGTGGTCGGTCAAACTATGATTTCATGTAAATTCCTGAACCCCTGAACCGATCTGGGTGATTTTTGAATATGTTGGTCACCCAGTTTGGGGCTATCAGGGGATTTAATTTTTGTGGGGGTTTTGTGTGTTTAAATGTATTTTTGGGGTTTTGTACAAAAACAAATTATGTTTTCTGTGCCTGGAGTTTAC